ATAAAGCTATAATAATAAAAAATAATAAAGAGAAGAATTGAGAAATAGTAATATTAATGTAAATATATTAATTCATAAACAATGTCTTGCCTTGGATGGACTCAATTTCTTTGAACTGCAGAGTTCAACTTAATGTAAATTAATACACAATATGCTTGAACAGTAATCGAATTTAAGTTTTTAAGGTATAATATGCCTGTATCAGGTAATAATCTTTACAAAAACAATAAGTAATGATGTGAGACTAACCTAGCATGGATCTCCGTTTTTCAGCATAAATCTGTTCGTAAATGAAGACCCCGGCTGCTCCCACCAGGCCCACTATAGCTGCACCCATCATAGCTCTTGAGGACAGGAAATTGTTATTCATTTTGTAATTTTTAGGAATTCCACACCAACAAATTATTCAATGATATTTCATATAACAGCTGGTTATTTAACACCAAGAGGTGTAAAGATTCATGTTCTACGTTTGTAGAGTATTATCAATGATCACTGGTAAATAAAAATACAAAAATAAACACAAAATATGGTTTAAACCGCGTGTAAAACACAAAAAATACACTAAATGTCTTAATTAGTGTAGATAAATGCAATTCGCTGTGTGTTTGAATCGGCCGGCACGTAATTATTGTAAAGAATTTTTTAACTACAAATCCAAAGCCGGAATTATTAGAAATTCAGCGCATTTGCAAGTGAAATCGTATTTTTTTGATGTGACAATCAAAATATTTGTGTCAAATTTGACAGCCATAGACAATTTAGTCACAGATAAAAAATGTCTTTATCGGGATATCGGGCGTTTACACCTTACGATTTTTGATACCACGTTGCTGATCAAGCCTGTTATGGCTCATACCACATTGTTCAGCGCCATAAACCAACATTTGTATTTTAAAATGTTTTAAAACTAAAATCTGTCAAATAGTAAACGCCGTATTTCGTTGAAATTGGTGTTTTTGTCCAAAATTAAACTAAAATACTGTAAAATAAACAATATTTAGTCAATATTTTAAGTATAACCTATACGTAATCTCCTAACGCATAAGTAGTTTTAGTTTTCTGTATATTGTGAGTACTATTCCGTTTATTTTGCAATATCGTTGAGCGTGCATTTTTCACTTAACTTTTTGTGTTGATTTATTTTAAAGAAAATGAGTACTGGTCAAGAAGAAATGCCTCCAGCGAAGCCGGATGATGATGCAGAGACAAAATCTTCAAATGAAGCTGCTAAAATACCATCTACTGATGAAGTGGATCATTCTAAAGACCCATCCTTAGAAAAAAACGTTTTGAAACCTCTTGAAGATGCGAATAAAAACACAGATTCTGGCTTCAAAGATCTGGGTTCTGAATCTACTGAAAAGAAATCGAGTTCGGATAATACAGACGATAATAGTGAGTTTGAGTTGAAGTGGGATGACGATGAATCCAATGAACAAAGTGTTGGACCCTCAGAGAAGGTACAAGCTGGTGAGAACGATAAAACTAAGGCAGACGTAGACGGTACAACACTTAGTGGCACTGATATCATCGATGAAAATAAACTGCTTGAGAGCTCAACGTCAAACAATGAAGAAACCGCTAAGACTTCACTGTCAAACAGTACTGAAGAAAAAACTGCAATTACTGATGATGTTGGTGAGATAGTTGATGAAAATAAACTACTCGAAGGCCCGGAATCCGATGAAGTTGATGAAGAGAAATTGCTGCTCGAATCTGATGATAATAGAGATGATTCTCCTTCAAAGGATATACGAATAGAAGAGTCCGTTAAAACTGATATCCCTAAAACTAACGAGAAATTATTAACTTCTACAGAACCTGACGTTCCTCCTTTAGATCAAGCATCTAACGCTGCAACTGAAAATGTAACTTCCGACTCAGACTTTCAAGATGCCAAATCCAAAGATCCTTTGAGTAATGAAGAGCTAAAAGTAGATCCGTCAAAGATATTTGCCTGCGAGACCATCACTAAGTTAATAAACGAACATACATCACCGATTGATAGTCCAACGCCATCCTCCAGTTCTAATAACAGCTCCTCTATAGACACAACAGACGATATCAACACCGAACATGGATTAAATAAACCGGATATGATGCTAGAGATACCGACTCAAGAGATCATTGAACTTTTTGACGAGACAGATTCCATTTCTACTCAAAATGATGATGAGATGGAAGTTGACGATGCCAGTCCTAAAACAGCTACTGTAGATGATAAAAAACCTGTAGCAGAAGAAAAGTCTGATGTATTAATTCTAGAACCATCTGACATGTGTAAAGATTTGGATACTGATAATCAAAAAGGCTGTGATGAGTTTATCATTAAAGATGTATCAGAAGACGATTGGTGCGAAATAGAAAGGAAATTGGAAGGATTTGAAGATTCTTTTAAAGCTTCACAGCTAAACCAAAAGTCTAAAGAACCTGAAAAAGATGATGCCAAAGAAAGAGAGGGAAAAACAGAAGAGACTGAGAATTTACCATTGACAGATGCTCAAAAGATGGTAATAGAAACTGAGAACAAAGCATTGTTGAAAACGCTCCAGGATTCTATTCTAGACTCTACTGCCGAATTGACTTCTGCTTCAATGAACGTTGATGATGATGATGAGTCAACAAGCCATCTTGAAGATGAACTTTTAACAGAATCTCCAAAACCAGCCCAAGATATTGATACAGCAGTAAAAGAACTGGAAGATGCAGTGAAAGAACCAGAAAATGCTGTGGTATCAGAAACAGTATCACAATCTGCACCAAATACAACTCAAGAAGACATAATAAACAGTGGAAAAGAAATTAATGCAGACTCAAATTTAGATAACCAGAAACTGGATAGTAAGGCAGATAATATACCTTCAGAAGTAACACAGGAGATTCAATCAGAATCAAAAACGACACAGCCTAATATTGCCTCACCTAAAACTGATCAGCCTTCGAATAAAGATACAATAGAACTAGCAAATGAAACTAAAATTGATGACAAATTACCTACATCAAACATTGAAGATACCTCAGAAAGTTTAATTAAACAATCATCTACAGATGTGGCACTACCACTAGCAGAGCCTACCAAAACATGTTCACCAGCAGACCTAAATGATGATGAGGTTTCATCAACACAAGAACCTGTTAAAACTATATTACCATCCAAGTTAAGTGATAATGTTGACACTTCTATACCTATAGAAGAAGAAAAAGATACTTCTACAATAAAACCAGTAGATATTCAAGTGGCAGATAAGATAGAAGTTGATGTTAATCCTTCAGGATCTAAGTTACCCATGGAACTTGAAGCTAAAATTCAAGATGCTACTGTTCCACCATCGACAGCCAAGCCAAATGAAATTGAAGATACTCCATCAACTGCTGAAAACACTGAAAAGGATTCTAAACTTAAGGATTCAGAAGAACTAGTCAAACCAACTACAGTAGACGACAATACTTCAACAATTGATGATAAGACTTCAACAACTGATGAAAAGACTTCAACTACTGATGATAAGGCTTCATCAACAAATGATGCCAAGATTTCAACAGTAGAAGCAGAACCAACAAAAGTGGTTGTATCACCAGAAGGGTCAGAAGTCACTAAAGCACAACCATCTCTTGTCACAATGGACGTAGAATCAACAAATGAGGATCAAACAAAAACTATTGAGCAATCCCCAACCCCACCAAAAGACAGTGAAGGATCCAAAATGCCTGATGAAAATGCCCAGCAATCAATGGAAATTCATCAGTCAACAGAAGTTCAAGTTCCTCTAACAACAACTAATGCCTCTTCAACTGAAGAATCTGCAGAAAAGACAGTCAAAGAATCAGCGATGGAAGTTGATTCAATAACATCAGTAGTTGAAACCCCAGCAATTGCAAAAGACAATGAACTGTCCAATTCAAAGCCAGAGTCTACTGTTGATAATATTGAATCATCTTCAAAGGTACTTCAACCATCAACTTCTGCAAATCTTGAATTATCACCAAAGGAACCCCAATCATCAACTTCTGATGTAGCTCCAACATCTAAACATGATGATGAAACGCCTTCTACATCAAAAACTGATGATGAAACGCCTTCTACGTCAAAAACTGATGTTGAACCATCAACATCAGCAGAAAATACAAAACCAGTATCAGACCCGGATTCCGATGAAGTCACAGAAACATCTGACAGTCTAGGCCTGTTGGCTGAGTCGTCACGGGTGATGGAAGACGACGACGATCAGGATGACGACGACGACGCCGATAACGATGCTGATGACGACGATGATTATGATCCAGAAGATGGTAAGTACTTTAAACTTGTTTTACTTCCTTTTAGAGTCTTCTGCCTGCGCTGGTAGGGTAAAAAGATTATGAGACATGTAGAGGCTCCTTAAGAGTGCAAACCTCCTAAACCAGTAGTTTTCAACCTGTGGGTCGCGACCCCCTGGGGGGTCGCGAAGCGCAGGGCCGATCACTGACGTTTGTCAACAAAATGGTGCTTGACTCTTGAGATAGGCTAAATTACACCATATTGTTAATGACATTGAGCATTTTTTTTTAAATGCCTTCTCGAAGTAAAACTTCTGTACGTAGTACTTATTATTATTCTGTGACTATACTTAAATTATTATTTTAGTTTCTTTTGATCACTTTTGAATACACAGTAAACAGTCAATTTTGCCGTTTTCACATACGAAGGCCCCTTAATCAAAACGCTGTAATGTGCGCACTTCCATACATGGTCATACTATGGTTATAACGGTTTCTGGTTTTGGTTACGGTGCGGATAAGAGCGTCGTGCGACTACTGACCGCCTCGAGTTGATACGGCTACGATCCGTTTCAGTTAAGTGTGCTTCGTGATTAAAAGCAAATATTTGACTTCCAGAAAGCAGTAACCAAATGACAGCAGAGCATTCCGAAGATTCGAACGCTCCCTTCTCGGAGACTGAAGCAAAGCAAGATCCTTGCATAGAATCTCCTGGTGAAGAAAAGGTGGAGTTCAGTTTTGCCATCAGCGATGTGTTTAGCAAGCAAGAAAAGGAAATCGAAGAGACAGATGCTGTGCAAGATCAGATTGAGGATCAGATTCAGGATGTGAGTATCAGAGAAATTACATCTTTAGTCTGTTTTTTTTATCCACAACGAGGAAGCTCTTGGCCTGTATCTCACCTGATGGTAAGTGATGATCAAGCCGAAGGTGGAAGCGAGCTTCGCCTGGAATCCTCAACCACAGAGGAACTGGCTATCTTACCTCCAACTGCCTGAACACAACAATGCTGTTAACATTGTTGTTATGGCGACAGACTTAGGTAAGATGGTGGTAGCTAGCCACCCTACCACCAACCGAATTGAACAGAAAAATTTGCCCCTACTGAGAATCGAACCCGGGACCTCTGCATCTGAAGTAGGTGGTCTTACCACTAGACCACAGAGGCGGTTGGCGGTTATGAATCGTGGCGTGATAGCCTATAAACCTTCTGATAAATGGTCTACCCTGAACAAAAATATTATCAGAATATTTACCTGCCTATAAAAAAACAAAAGCATGATATTTATGTTACATTTTTTTATCAGGATATCGAAGTGACAGCAGATGAAGTGGCTGTGGCAACCATAGACGATGTAGAGGCAACCATAGACGATGTAGAGGCAACCATAGACGATGTAGAGGCAACCATAGACGATGTAGAGGCAACCATAGACGATGTAGAAGCAACCATAGACGATGTGCAAGCTGCAGACGACACGAACATAGAGCAAAAGGAAGAGGATAAAGTAAGTATACTTCTGAATTCGTCAGTGCCAGATTAATCCCTAAGCAAAAGCATTAGACTAGTGGCCTAATTTTCATGTATTTTGACAGTCAAGATCTCGCTAATATCTAACGATTAAATTAATAAAACATGGATGACCGCTTCTAAGGCAAAATAAAAGACTGCTCCGCTGCCCGCATCCAGGCTCTTCCCGCGACCTTTACCAGATCGTCGGTCCACCTAGTAGGAGGCCTTCCCACGCTACGTCTTCCACCTCATGCATATGTAGGAAGTGAGTCGGACAGAATGAATTAATAAGGCAGAGATATCAAGATATAGCTATTTTTATTAATTATAAGAACAGCAATTTAATCAATGGTAGTGATTCAGTAATTAGTCTTAATTAAGTAGCGTACAGCTAACACTTCAATTGTGGCCAATGCTCAGGCTTTAGCCACAAGTGACTTTATTTTAATCCCAACTAATATTATAAATGCGAAAGTAACTCTGTCTGTCTGTCTGTCTGTCTGTCTGTCTGTCTGTTACGCTTTCCCGCTTAAACCTCGCAACCGATTTTGATGAAATTTGGCATAGAGATAGTTTGAGTCCCGGGAAAGAACATAGGATAGTTTTTATCCCGGTTTTTGAAACAGGGACGCGCGCGATAAAGTTTTTCTGTGACAGACAAAATTCCACGCGAGCGAAGCCNGTTCGCGATCGGGCCGTATCGAGCGCATAAGGCGCCCGATCAGTGGCGAACCCAACTAGAGGGTTGTCCACCGCGGTGTTGGACCAAAGTCCAGCCTACGGCGGGCTCACTCTAGTGGGCCCGATCGAGGGACTGCCTGCTCCGTCGCTGCGCGCTCGATTTATACCCGTTGCAAAACAACCGTAGTGGAGGTGGGGGAAAAGTGAAAGGCCCTTGCTCTGACGTTGTACGGTGCAGCTGTTGTTTACGAGTTTGTAACAAGTTCGGCGTGCGATGACGCCGCCGTCATATCTTTAATGCTGAGTCAGCCTGTCCTATAANTGCTTGCTCTGACGTTGTACGGTGCAGCTGTTGTTTACGAGTTTGTAACAAGTTCGGCGTGCGATGACGCCGCCGTCACATATAAGTCTGAAATAGCCTGTTATGACCTTATCTGTCAGATAAACAACAACGTTGAGTTGCACAGATCTTAGTCGTTACCGGACTAATTAATTTACTTATTAAATAGCGCTTATGTCAGATATCTGGTACTGGTTCCATAAGCTTAACTTTACCTGACAGATTAATTCCTGATAGGCTATCAAGGACTTTATTAGTAAGATGAAGTAGGCCCTTAGTATTATAACACATTAAACTATACGTAAAAGTTATCTGACAGATAAGTTCCTGATAAACTATCAGGGACTATATCTGCAAGATAAAACTTGTCCTTAATATTATGAAATATTTTACAGGATGAATCCAACAAGCAAGCTGATATAGAAACAGTTAAACTGTCAGATACGTCAGATAACGAGGCCGAAAACGAGTCTATGTTGAAGAAACTACTTGGTAATGATGAAAAAGGTAAGCTGTCATTCTAATTTGAACCTTAACACGTTGTGTTCTTGTCAAGAATTTAGTGAAATTGCAGAAGAAGATGGGTAGAAGTATCATTTGTGGCCACTTAAAATTTAAATGTGTATAAATTCCAAAAGTTAAAAAAAAATTGATACATTTTTATAAATGAAACATACTAAATAATAATAAATTGATAATTTTATAATGCTTTAAAATATTAGTAAAATTTTAAACGGCGCAAAGATACAGTGCTTATAACTGGTACTTCTACCCTATACCTTTTTTACTATGAACCTTATGATCTTATAATATGGTTCAGAATCCGATAAAATACAAGTATATTAACGCCCGTATTCACAAACATTACTATGAGGTCTCACAGTGCGCGTGGACGCACAGGGTGACACACAGAGCTCTATTCAACGCTGTGCGTTCGATTTGCTGCTTCATTTAAGCAAGCATCGTTTGTGAATACCGGCGTTATTCAGGCTATAGTCTGGTCCGTGAGCACGTAGAATTTTGTCCAATGACCCCAAGCTACCCATCCTTATCGCTCGCGCGTAATTATGTCGCTGTCGCGCTCGCACACTCACTGCGGGCGCCCGTCGCACAGTCGCGACAGCAATGTAATTACGCACGATAAGGATGGGTAGCTTGGGGTCATTGGACAAAATTCTACGTGCTTACGGACCGGGCTTTAGAAGAATCTCAAATGAAATCTAACAAAATGTTTCATTCAGAAGCTGCAAAAGAAGAATTTGTCGATAAAACAGAACAGAAGAATGAAGAGCCATCTGGAAGTGATATGAATATCGTTGAGTTGGAAGAAAGTTCTTCTGAGGATGGTAAGAAACAAAAAAATATTACTATTCATCTTATACTCTTAGAATAGTGTTGCTAACTATCGATAGTTGACCTCAAAAAATATTTTGGATATTGATAGTGCTGTTAATATTGTTATGTGCAATAGTATCGATAACAAACTATCAATAAAATAATTAAAACTGAACTTGAACAATTTATCGATAAAAAATATAGCTCAAAATGCCCATGCGGCCAGCGCTTCCCTGCTACCTTTATGATATCGTCGGTCCACCTTGTAGGTGGACGTCCCACGCTGCGATTATATACATAAATTTTGTTTTTACAGACATACAAGAAGTGAAAAAGGCTTCCAAATCAGAAAAAAGCACGCTCATAACAGTAGACGGTTTAAACATTACCATACCAGGGTGCGTGGAAGTGAGCAATGTGAAGGTCGCCCATACACCAAACGTGGAGAAAGAAGCAGTGATCCAGGGTACTGATGATAAGGTAGGTCAAAAGTCACAAAGACTTCTATCATCAGGTCATTTAAGGACGTCGCACACTTATCAACCCAGAAAGGGCGTAACCGTACCGTACGTAGCCGGTCAGTATTCTTTGTATGAAATTCCTTACTTAAACGCACACTTAGGCCCAGAACACACGATGAAACGCAATTGCAACGAAACTGCATCTAAGTTTCTGCCATAGATTCCGTTGAGAGACCACACATGACGCGACCAGTTTGAAACCGGTTTGAAATGCAACTCAAAAGTAACTAGAAGTTGCAGTTTCGTTGCAATTGCGTTTCACCGTGTGTTCTGGGCCTTATCCGCACCACATCGGTACACGCCTCACCTCGCGATTGTCAGCGCGCGAAATGCGATACGGTGTTGATCCCTTTCCGAGTTGGTAAGTATGCTATGACCTTTAGTCTCCACTGCAGGAGCACGACCCACTAAAAATCAGAAGCAAATGGTTTGGTGTACTGTACATCAAGCACCAAGCTTGGGGCCAGTCAAAAAAAGTGGATAAGGTCGCCACTCGAAAACTTTTCTGCCCAACGGCCATCAGCTCTACGAGCTATGTGCCCCGCCCATAGCTATTTGAATTAAAGATTTTCTAATTTTCAGACATCTGCAGAGAAGCCTAAACCAAAGTTCAGCCTGGAAATTTTCAGTCTAGATTCAGATGAGGAAGACAGTGGTGAGTTTGGGTTATTAACCTAATAAATTATACAAAGCGAAACTAGGGTACACTATAGTTCTAACGCTTAACTCAGTGACTGAGGTATGAGCGGCACGGGAGGGGTTTTTGTAACGTCAAACGTCAGCGAGACTTCAGATTTATGCTCTAAGTTAAAATAAAAATTACTATTAAATAGTACAGTCACGGAATGAAAAGGTTCGTCAGTTTTCAAATTGATTCCTTCAACGAATCGCGAGCACATATTACCTTTTGAAACTATGTTACAGAATAATCTCGAGTTAGAGAAAATAATCTTTAACTGTTCGTCAGTAAAGTTCAAAATTATTCAGATCAAAGTTGTTTGACGATTTATCTTGTCAAGAAGATTATTATGATTGATAAACTAAAACCTTCTTGTTGGTTCAACCTGCCATTATTATTTCTTTTAAATAAAAAAAAAACTATTGTCAATTGGTCAATGTCATCATTGCATTGCACTGATGGGATAGAAAAATAAACAAGCAAAACCTTATTCGTTAGCAAACGTCATATTTATTTAAATGTTAGCAGCACTGTTTCTTGCACTGTTATGTTGGCAGGTTTGACTCTTACAGTACCTAGTGCAAGCGAAAACCGACACTAAGGTGACGAACCTTTTCATTCCGCGACTGTACTTCAAGTCTGGTCGCCGAGCACGTAGAATTTTGTTCAATGACCCCAAGCTACCCATCCTTATCGCTCGCGCGCAATTATAGTCGGAACAGGGCGCCCGCAGTGAGTGTGCGAGCGCGACAGCAATATAATTACGCGCGAGCGATAAGGATGGGTAGCTTGGGGTCATTGGACAAAATTCTACGTGCTCGGCGACCAGACTATACAAATCGTCAAATATTTTGCTCTTAAGGATCCTCTACATGTCTCATTTTTTTTTACCTTATACTACCCTACACTGACACTATAATACCACACAGTTTCTCCTACGGATCTCATTTCCGATTTGTTTTCTAATTAAACTAACTTTGTCTTTATTTATTTCCCAGCACCAACCCCAGCCGTGGACCAAAAGCCCACAGAAGATAAAAGCATACCTAAAAAGTGCATAAACATGACTTGTACGTCCACAAGTAGTTCATACTATAAAGCCGACGCGTCGTGTGTTGCGTATTACAAAGCACAGAAGAAGAAAAAAGCATTGGTCTGTGCGCAGTGTGCTGACGTTGTTGTGAAACGGAATGAGGTAATATAGGCTCTATTTTTAGTGTGTTTAAGCTCAAAATGCTTTAATGGCCAGTTTATAAAGTTAGAAAATCGACGCAAAATGTGTTTTCACTTAAGGCAAAAGAAGTAAGGTGATTTGAGACTTATAGACAAGTGTCTTTAGGCTCAAATTGCGTAATTCTTGTCTTCTTGTGCTAAAAAGCTCAGAGAAAAAAGGCTTTAGTCTGTTCATAGTATGCTGACGTCGTCGTGAAACGGAATGAGGTAATTTGAGTCCTATTGTAGTGCAGTAAAGCTCAAACTTATCATCTTTATTGATCAGATTATTTTACTTCAAAGCTGAATAGTATTTTTTTAGTGCACTGGAGAAAACTTGTTAACTAAGCGTCACTGTAACGGTGGCGTAACGTACAGTCAGCGTGAAATAGTTCGTCACACCCAAAGTGGCCAAAAATTGACAACACAACCTTATGTCAATTGCAATAAAGACGTGTTGCGAACTTCTTGCCTACTTTGGGTGTCACCAACTATTTGACGCTGACTGACGCGTAAGAATCTAGTACGAAACATTTGGGCTTTTTTTTTGGACTATCCTGCGGATTTATTGCCGCGGTGATTCTGCCAATGTCAAGTGACATTTAGGCTGGGTTGCACCATCTTACTTTAACTTTGACAAACGTCAAAAATCTGTCAAACTCCATACAAAAAGCACCGGTTATCGTCATAATTACTGTCAAAATAAGATGGCGCAACTCAACCCTTAGTACATCAGTGAAACGTGATATAAATAAATAATATGGGAATTCGAAACTTATGTATAAGTGTTTTAGGCTCAAAATGCATTCACTCTCCACTCGCACTAATTTTGATCAGTTTCAAACCCTATACAGTATCCCATGCTTTTCATTACAGCGCCTAATCCAAGGCATCAAAGACCTAACTCCGCTCCTGAATATGGACACCATAAAAGCAGCGGCAGACGTGGTGGAATTATCCGACTCAGAATCTGAGGATGAAGATACTACTGAACCGGAGACTTTGGGCGAAACTGGTGCTAGGTGAGTGGGGTGATTTTGTACCCCAAAAAACTTATTCGTTTCAGCAAAATCACGTTCACCGCTGGATAAAAGCCTCCCCCAAATATTCCTGTAACGACTGGTGTAGATAGTGCCATCCACTCGGACGCACCCCACCATTCTTCCGAATGTTTGAGTGTTATCGGTACACGCGAATGCTCCATGAGTGCACACGCACACTACAGTAATGCCTTACGGCTTGCTCGGACCACACTCCCCGCACCCCGCGCGACCGGGACCACACATTGCTGGGGCGCGCCCGAGTGGATGAAACGATCTATACTGCGCTGCTCGCATCCAGGTACTTCCCGCGACCTTTGCCAAATCGTCGGTCCACCTAGTGGGAGGCCTGCTCACACTACGTCTTCCGGCTCGTAGTCACCACTTGAGAACTTTTCTGCCTGCTATTAGCTCTTATCTCAATAAAGTTGTCATAAGAGATTTTTTTTGTAAATAGACTTTTATAAAGCGCTAAAACTTTTATAAAAGGCTTTTATAAGACGCGTAAGCGTCCCAGTATTATTTTAACTTTACCTCAGCTTTGGGACAATGTATAAGCCAGTGATGAGAAGAAGCAGTACAAGAAACTAAAGTAAACAATGCTCAAAATCTAAACACCCATTTAGAGTTTGAAATTGAATGAAGTTTTGATTTTCGTTCAGTAATATGGGGGGCTATGCAATGCTAGGTGTTTCTTTACGTGATCGAATCAGAAATAAGGAGATCCGTAAACTAAAGTCGCTGACATAGTCCAACGGATTAGCAAGCTGAAGTGGCAATGGGCAGGGCACATAGTACGCAGAACTGACGGCCGATGGAGCAGCAAGATTCTGGAGTGGAGAACACGTACCGGAAAGCGCAGCGTAAGATTTCCACCCACATTAGGTGGACCGACGAACTCATAAAGGTAGCAGGAAGGCGCTGGATGCCGGCCGCCACCAACCGGCCATTGTGGAAATCATTGGGGGAAGCCTATGTTCAGCAGTGGACGTCCTGTGGCTTAATGATGATGACGATGACGACGCTGATTAATATGGTCCTACCTAAGGTTACTAAGTTTGCTAAATCATTATGGTTCTGGGGTGGTTGTGTACCCCAAGTAATCCAGTGGGGTGGCAGCGCACCCCATTGAACCCAGTGCGGTAATTTTGTTATCTCTTACCTTGCAGTTTGGTAGAAGCCAGTCTAGCTCAACTGATTAATGCAACGTGGGACAAATTCCGTATGGATTCGAGGTTGCACGATGCTGAGGTAGAAATGACTAAAGAAATGGAGAAATTGCAAGGCAAGTATTAATATAAACCTTCGTTTCAGTCGAATAACGTCCACTGCTGGACAAAGGCCTTCCTCAAGGATTTCCACAAAGACCGGTCCTGCGCCGCCTGCATCTAGGCACTTCCCGCGACCTTCACCAGATCGTCGGTCCACCTAGTAGGAGGCCTGCCTACACCACGTCTTCCGGCTCGTTTATTAAACCTTAGCGTCTAATAATATTGTATTCACAAACATTACTATGAGGTCTCACATTGCGCGTGGACGCACAGGGTGACTCTATTAGACGCTGTGCGTTCGATTTGCTGCTTCACTAAAGCAAGCATCGTTTGTAAATACGAGCGTGAGTGGGGTATCTCTGCACCCCAATTTAAACACTTTTCTTCTTCCAGAGGAAGGCGACAAAATCAAAGCAATGCTGAACGAATGCCAAGTAGCCACGGACAAATTGAGGAACGATTTGTACGCTACTTTTGAGTACCAGAGACGTGAGAGAGACGCCATCATAATATGCGACACTCCTCTAAGCAAAGTAAGTATCCATTCATCCGTTATTCAAATCAAATCAAATAATTTATTCAGTACTTAAACCCTTTCCAGGGCGTTTAAACACGTCCCAAATATAGCTTGCTCTACCACCACTTCGGGACAACATATGGGCTGATACTGAGAAGAAGTGGCGGAAGAAACTCTTAACTCAGTCACCTTTGTCAGCCTGTTTTTCAGCTAGATACAGCAAATACATTATGCAAGATATGTAATAAGTGCGAGCTATAATTTTTTTAACGTTATGGACCCACTAGCTTTCCGCCCGCGGCTTCGCCCGCGTGGAATTTTGTCTGTCACAGAAAAACTTTATCGCGCGCGTCCCTGTTTCAAAAACCGGGATAAAAACTATCCTATATTCTTTCCCGGGACTCAAACTATCTCTATGCCAAATTTCATCAAAATCGGTTGCGAGGTTTAAGCGGGAAAGCGTAACAGACAGACAGACAGACAGACAGAGTTACTTTCGCATTTATAATATTAGTTGGGATATATAGTTGGGATTTCTAAAAAGTCTGTTAACGTGTTAACTTATTGTTACATGATTTACTGGGCTGTTAAAGATATCGATCGTCCTAAACACGTTAGCGGGTGTTAAACCACTAACGGACTGTCAAACTGTCAAAATCAAGATTGAAGTTTCATACTATAGCCCAACGACTCTGAAACGTCAAGTGGCAAAAATCAAAATCTAACAACCCAGTATTGATAATAGCGCCCTCCGTAAATGTCACAATTTTAATAGTTGTCCAACGCGGCAAAAATCGGTACTACTAGACTAAGAGCTGGTGAACGCCAGACCTACGTCATTTTATAAAAGCTGAAAGTTTGTCAGCGTATGCTCCCAATATAGGCTATAATGTTGGTGAATCATGAAGTTTGAGCCATTGTGTTTTTGGCAGCTATCCTAAAAAAAACTGTCTGGCAAGGAGTTGGAACTGTCAAAACTGTCTGGCTGAAATACTACTTTTAATTATAATAATTAGAAGTAGTTTCCTCATCATCATCATCATCATTTCAGCCACAGGACGTCCACTGCTGAACATAGGCCTCCCCCAATGCTTTCCATGTTGATCGATTGGTAGCGGCCTGCGTCCAGCGCTTCCCTGCTACCTTTACGATGTCGTCGGTCCACCTTGTAGGTGGACGTCCCACGCTGCGTTTTCCGGTACGCGGCCTCCACTCCAGAACCTTGCTGCCCCATCGACCGTCAGTTCTGCGTACTCACTCTCTACACCCTCACTATAGGCCTTATACAGAAGCTCAAAGTTGCACAGCGTGCTATGGAGAGGGCTATGCTTGGTGTTTCTTTGCGAGATCGAATCAGAAATGAGGAGATCCGTAAACGAACCAAAGTCGCTGACATAGCCCGACGGATTAGCAAGCTGAAGTGGCAATGGGCAGGGCACGTAGTACGCAGTTTCCTCATCAGCCAGAAAATAATCCAGTATTGATAATAGCGCCCTCCTGTCATGCCATAGCTGGGACGGTTCAGTGTTTAGACAACTAGATATTAGAACATTTAAGATATTCTAGAAAATAAGTTGAGAGATAATTAATAAATGATATTTTCGTTTCAGTACTCGTGTTTGGAGTATGCAGTTCATCAAAGCTCAGGGCAAGTCCCTATGCCGGAGGTAAGGAATATTCCTATTAACACAGAATAATAATAAGTACTACGTACAGAAGTTTTACTTCGCGAAGGTATTTAAAAAAATGTATGCTCAATTTCATTAAAAATATGGTGTAATTTAGCCTGTCTCAAGAGTCAAGCACCATTTTGTTGACAAACGTCAGTGATCGGCACTGCGCCGAAGCTATAGGGCTGACTTCGGTAAAATGATGTGACGTGAGGTGCCAAACTGCGGAAAATGGCGGAGGAAATACATGAATTATCATGAATAATATTAACTACTTATTTACCTCTCAGTGTCTTGAGGCAACTTAAAAAAGTACATTCTGTGTTTTTATTATTATTTAGGCAGTTAAACACTGCACAGTATTTAGTACACCATTTTCTTTATTTTCTTCCATCATACACAAGAATACGCGTGCGTGAGTCAATGTTCGCTCGTATGTGAGGCCTTGTCGAATAGTATCCTGTAGGTGGGCCATCGTGCGTGTTTTGTTTTCGATGTAAACTCGCGGAGATGAACAGGCCTGCTATTAGTGAAATCCTATCTTAGGCTGAGTTGCACCACCTTATTTTAACCTTAACAATAACCATGACCAATGGATGCAGGCCGCTACCAACCGTGCGATGTGGAAGTCATTGGGGGAGGCCGATGTTCAGCAGTGGACGCCCTGTGGCTGAAATGATGATGATGAATAACAAATTCAAATTCAAACATTTATTACATAGAATAGGTATTTTACATATGAGGTCTTATAATATAATTTACACAGTGCTTACTATTCTGCTAACATTTTTAGCATGCAAAATGGTCATTAAAAAGTCATTAATGTTGAAGATACAGCAGTCTATCAGCCAATTTTTGAGATTTCGTATCATTGCATTAGTTGACCCTGTCTTAAATATCTCTGGGATTTTATTATAAATTTTTATGCACATACTGTAGCAGCTTTTTTTGTATAGCGGGGTTTTTGGAGAAAAAATTATTACAAGTCTGCTTGGAAATCTAGTATTTCTTGGGTATATATCCCTTGCCCTTAAAAATTACCTTAAAAATGACCGGTGCTTTTTGTATGGACTTTGACAGATTTTCTTTTTGACGTTTGTCATAGTTAAAGTAAGATGGTGCAACCCAGCCTTAATGTTATAAACTAGCCTCTGCCCGCGACTTCGTCCGCGTGGAATAGTTACTTGTCTTAGCGTGATGATATTAGCCTAAAACCTTCCTCGATAAATGGGCTATCCAACACAAAAATATTTTTCTAACCGGACCAGTAGTTCCTGAGATTAGCGCGTTCAATCTTACTCATCAGCTTTATGAATGAGTTGCACCACTTAACTCTGACCGTAACTTTAACAATAACCGGTGCTTTTTGTGTGGAGTTTAACAGATTTCTGACGTTTGTTAAAGTCAAAGTAAAAACATTACTATGAAGTCTCACAGTGCGCGTGGACGCACAGGGTGACACACGAACCAATCACATAGCGCTATTCAACGTTTGTGCATTCGATTTGCTACTTCACATAAGCAAGCATCGTTTGTGAATACGGGCGAAGCTCTTCAGCTTTAAATGTACTGTTTTGTCCCCAGAATAGGGTAAAGCGCCGTATGTCGTCCGCCAACGAAGTGCCGGCCAAACGACCGGCCATACCGCTCGGGTACTCGTCGCTAGATGGTGACACTGCGCAGCCTCAAATTCAGACCCAGACGCAGGTTTGTTTTATTTATTGCTAGCTGTTCCTATGACTTTGTTCGTGATAACACCATACGGGGTGTCCCAAAATTGGAGTCCCACTGACACTGGAGGTGGCCGAGTCTAAGACGCATCGAACAAGCTTAATATGTCCATTAAAAAGTTTCATAAGTTTTAAGATATGACCAATTTTATTTATTCATTTCCATCGAAAAGTTTGATGAGTTTTGAAATATGACTCTTATTAGTTATTTTTAGAAATGGACTTAGTATATTTGTTAGATGCGTCTTAAGCTCATTTACCTCTGGTGTCAGTGTGACGTGCAAATTTTGGGACAACCTGTATATGTAGGTAGGTACACTCAGCCTCAAATAGTTCGTAACACCTAAAGTAGCCAAAAAGTTCGCAACACGTCTTTGTTACGATTGAAATAAGGTTGTGTTGCCAACTTTTTGACCACTTAGGGTGCCACGAACTATTTGACATGACTGTACTTGAGATATGAATAAATAGATTTTATTGAACTACAAGAAAACTGGTAATTTTAAGAAGTACAGAATTTTTGTCGACGGATACTTTAATAAAATGGTTTTTTTTGTAGGAAAATCCGCCAGCACCTACTATAGAAACTACCAAACAAGATGATGATGTGAGTAACTGATCTATCTATCTGCATAATAATAATACTTTCTCAAGTTTTGAGATTACTGAAATTTTAAGGTTCAAGTTTACAGCGGCCGGTATTTTCAAGGATTTTTAAACCCTTCACTCTTAACTGTATCGTTTCATTATTATTGTAGTGTGCGAATAATCTTTAGTACAACGCAAGCTATGTACACTGTTTATACTTAAAACGTCAACTGCATGACATAATATGTCATATTATTGCTGTCACGATTCGCGAGAAATGTGTTCTGTTTTTGGGCATATTGCTGCGACACTGGCCACGCCCCCTTTTCACATCTCCCTTTATTTTTTGTGATGTGCTTTAAACACTACCTTTTCCCCCACAGAAAGACATAGCGGTTCTGAAAGTATCAGTGGAAGCAGCACCCTCAGACTTGCCTCCCCCGGGAGAATTAGTCCCGCCTCCCTTGAGAGCGGGACTTTGTGTGTATGCGATGCGAAATTCCTTCGGCTGCTGGATCAGGAGCAAAGTGTTGGAGGTCAACGGGAAGAGCTCGGTGGCTGGGGTGAGTACTCGATGGACCGACGACCTCTAGCAATAATTCTGTCGCGGGGGTAACGGACTTTGCCAACCTCTCGTTCCCACCGCTGCAACTCCTGTGTATCCAGGATCTACAACTTGACCGCCAATAACCCAACCAGTGAAGGTCAAGTTTGTCCCGGGGGAAAGTTCAACTGTCCTTGGCTGTAAGTAACGGTTACTCGATGGACTGACGACCTAAACAAGGCAGCTAGTAGAGATAACAAAGTGTTTAGAGACAGCGGTCTTTAACATACTGGTTTATAGAATCAAGGGTCCCTCCTTTTTTTCTCAAAAAGGGTCATACCATAAAGTTAATGTTCTTTCGGAACAGAGCAACAACCATGAGCTGTCAAACAAAACCATTTTGGATGACACTTTGAGTCATTTTTGTGTCAGTGGTCAGAATTATTTCACTGTGTTTTACCAATCAATCACCGAACCAGTCACCACATTTCTGAAGCACTACTTCTCATAAATATCCACCATTTCACGTAAAATCTGAAAAAATATCAGCGTGCCAATAAGGCCCAGAACACACAGTGAAACGCAATTGCAACGAAACTGCATCTTCTAGTTACTTTTGAGTTGCATCTAAGTTTCTGATATTGATTCCGTTGAGAGACCACACATGACACGACCAGTTTGAAAGCGGTTTGAAATGGTCGCGTCGTGTGTTTTCTCTCAACGGAATCTATGGCAGAAACTTAGATGCAACTCAAAAGTAACTAGAAGTTGCAGTTTCGTTGCAATTGCGTTTCACCGTGTGTTCTGGGCCTAAGTGCTAACGACATGTCAAATAGTTGCAAAAAACGGTTCTGTTTTTATTACACAGTGTTGCTGCTAGTGACATGTCGCTTGCTCAGTTCTTTATTTATTTTATTTTTCTTTATTCAGAAAACCACAGCTCCTTATAATATTAATACTGACAGGTATTTTTATACTTCTTAGAGTAGGCGCACACCGTTGATTTTTCGTCGGCCGATAGTTTAGTCGGGCAGTTGATCAGTATGGGCATGTATGAGAGTGCGCACACTACGCCGTTTCGATTTGGCCGATTCTTCATACAATTTAATATCGGGCACAACTATCGGCCAACTAAAAATCAACGGTGTGCGCCTACTCTTACAGCCAATAATTCTTTGTTGCTCTATTCCGCTAGGTACATTAATTTTATGGGTCATACAAAGCCAGCGGTCGTCTATACCCCTGCAGTGGAGACTAAATGACCTGATGATGATGATTGTAGCAGGAAGGCGCTGGACGCGGGCCGCTAATCGATCAACATGGAAATCATTGGGGAAGGCCTATGTTCAGCAGTGGACGTCCCATGGCTGAATTTTATTTTATTCACAACGAGTTAGCTCTTGGCCTGTATCTCACCTAATGGTAAGTAATGATCAGGCCGAAGGTGGAAGCGAGCTTCACCCGGAATCCTCAAACACGGAGGAACTGGCTATCTTACCTTCAACTGCCGGAACAACATAACAGTGCTGTTAACATTGTTGTTATGGCGACAGACTTAGGTAAGATGGTGGTAGCTAGCCAGGCGGACTTAGAACAAGCCCTACCACCAACCAAACCGAACCGAAATAATCGGGACCTCTGCGTCTGAAGCAGATGGTTTTACCACTAGACCACAGAGGCGGTATTTAAATGATGATGATGATTGTTTTCCTTTCAGATGTCACAATCGTTCACGATGTGTCGTGTGAAGTACGACCACAAGCCAAAAGGCAGCAGTCGTCTGTTTCCAGCACGATGTTTGGCTTATAACGAGCCGGCGAATGTCAGACTTACTATAGGTCAGTATTATTGGTAAAATGTAAAATTATATTTATTTAAAGTAAGTGCTCTTTCAAGTTAGATGTTTTGAGCATAAGGCTCACGACGTGCTCACAGACGAGCGATGTTATGTCGGCGACTGCTTGCTAGGGATGTTATAGATATGTAGTTACGGTTACGGATATTTTTTTATTTCGGATATCCAAAAGTTTCGGTTACGGTTACGGATATCTGTGCTTTAGAATGCAATTATCCGAAACTTTTTAATCGGTTACGGTTTCGGATATTTTTTTATTTCGGATATCCGAAAGTTTCGGTGACGGTTACGGATATCCATAACATACTAGCTGCTTGCGACGGTCAGCGACTGTCGGCGACTCGTGCCTTTTGCTCTCATGACATGTTGACACTCTTGACTATACATTAGTGTCTGCCTGTCTCCGAGAGTCGCGAGTCGCGATGCGTTGGCGAACGATCGTCTAATTTGAATATGTCGTCGGGTACTGTCTGAACCGGCGACTAAAGTCCGGTCCAAAACGTCTTATTTGATGGCTCTAAAGGCGGTTCGCGCTGCGACAGAGACAAGCGACCGAAACGAGAAACCGCGACCGTTACTTGGCTTTAGGCAACGAGACAGAGACCTAAGTCAAATAACGGTCGCAGTCTCCCGTCTCGGTCTCCTATGACGCAAACCCGCTACCTTTAGGCTGCTTCTCCAGAAGATATATGCGAGGAATATGAGCGGTGCTAAAGTCCGGTCGCCGAGCACGTAGAATTTTGTCCATTGACCCCAAGCTACCCGTCCCACGCGACTGTGTGACGGGCGGCCGCAGTGAGTGTGCGAACGCGACAGCAGTATAATTACGCACGAGCGATTAGGATGGGTAGCTTGGGGTCATTAGACGAAATTCTACGGGCTCGGCGACCGGACTCTAGAATTTGTAGCAATGCTGTGAAACTACGTATATTAATACTAATAATCGTCTTTAGGCACAAGAATCATCGCTCTCTTCAAAGACGCGCAGAATCCGCTGAAAAAGGACGCCTTCTACTCCGGAATCATTGCAGAGGTTCCCAACCCGGTCAACAACTACAGGTGAGATTGAAATAGACGTTGTCACCACCAATCAATGAGGGTTAGACGGGAGGTCCAAATGCTGCATGATTGGTTATTTTTGACATGACATTGACAGATATGTCAAAATCCACTAATCATGCAGCATTTGGACCTCCCGTCTACGTATTTCCATCTGGCGGACTTTTCAATCGCGAAAACCCTCATTGACGTGCTTTTTAAAACTGGTAAAACGAGACTCCCATAGATTCTGTGTGGCAATACAAGCAAGTAACGTCACTATTTTGTCAACTCAATTAAACTACTTTTTTAATTATAATGCAGCCAAAAATCTTAATTTACAGGTAATTTAAAATTAATTAAGTTTCTGAGACCAGAATGATTTCGAATTATTGGGGAATGGTGTCAAATAGTCTATTGTAGACTCAAAGCTTTCTTTTTGTTAATGGCAATCAAAAAGTGGGATGTCCACCCACAAGGTTGACAGTCTACCTCATAAAAGTAGCAGGAAGGCGCTGGATGCAGGCCGTTACCAACCGGCGTATCTGGAAATCATTGGGGTAGGCCTATGTTCAGCAGTGGACATCCTGTGGCTAAAGCGATGATGATGATCAAAAAGTTTAAAATTCACACTATTTTTCACAGGCGTACTTTAATTTTGTAGAGATAATGAAAAGGGCATTGTTGCCACAGTTTAAAATTACCTAATTTACGTAATTTTCTTCTTTACTTTATATTTCTTACATAATTTGATTTCATTTGACATCCTAAGGGGCCATCTATAAGTTACGTACACATTAAGGGGCGTGGAATGTGTGGGAGGGGTCCTTTTCTTGACGTCACATTTCAAAATCTTATGCCTCTTTTTGATTTAGCAAAAACATTTCACAACACACAGTCATGTAAATTATTGTTTTATATAAATTACCACAAACTGTTGTAGAACTACCCATTCATAAATTCAAAGCACATATTAAAAGTACCTTAATGAAAAAGGGCTACTATAAAGTCGATGATTATTAAAAAGATAAAAATGTTTGGGATACGTTTCTGCCTAGCTCGCATAAATATTTATAACTTTGTACATTTTAAAGCCTGTAAACCTTTGAAAAAGAGGCTGACAATAGTGACTGAGTTTCTTGCGCTGCTTCTTCTCAGCACTGGCCCATTTATTGTCCTGAAGCAGTGGTAGGGTTAATACTGGGACGTGTAAAAGTGCCTTTTAAGCCTATTTACAGAAATAAATGAGTTTTAATGAGTTTTTAGCTGGAGATCCTTGGGGCAGGCCTGTGTTCAGCAGTGAAATGATGATGATGATTGTGTTTCAGATACCTGGTATTCTTCGACGATGGTTACGCTCAGTATGTGCGTCATCGAGACACGCGAGTCGTTTGTGAGAGTTCCGCGCTAGTGTGGGAGGAGGTATTTATTTATTTATCAACTAAACTATACTAATACTAGCTGACCCAACTTTGTAATTTTTATTTATACAAACCATTTCTTTCAGCGGTGAGGAATAGGTTTGTCTGGACCTTCTCTGGACTATGACAAGTATTTAAAAATCAAAATCAGCTAGTGCCATATAAATAGGTTTTATATTTACTTAACTTTGTGTTGATATTTCAATCGTCAGATATCTTCTAACTAAGGAATAAACTTGTCATTTTGACACACATATTTCCTATATTGAAGCTGTCAATGTGCAAAACTTATTCTTCAGTAATAAGTTATCTGACGATTGAAAAATCTTCTCTCTTCCCAGCTTCTTCTCAGCACTGCCCCATTTTTTGTCCCGTACCAGTGGTTTAAAGAGTCCAAAAAGCTTTCTATAAGTCTACTTGCAAAATAAATTAATTTGAGTTAGAATCTGCCAGTTTACCTTCGTACTAGTCAAAATCGTGTCATTGTCTAGTAGGTAATGCCATAAAGCATTATCTGCCTGCCAGTTACTTAACCTTCGAGCTAAACAGGACAAAAACGATTTTTACCCAGGTGCATCCATTCTCGCGGGAGTTCGTGAAGGAATACCTGATAGCCTACCCTGAGAGGCCGATGGTGCGGCTACACGCTGGACAGAGCTTGAAGACTGAGTGGAATGGTGAGTTGAACAACTATAGGCTTAGCGAACAACTCAGTCAGTGCCTGAGGTGTGTTAGCGGCAGGAGAGGGTGATTTTTATGTCAAACGTCATTGACACTTCAGATATGTATAGATGACCCACGCTGAACTGTAAAGTAAAGTAAAGTAATGTAATGTAATGTTTATTTCTCACCAACATAACAGATAATATTATGATAACAAACAATCAGTGAAAACAAAGTAAGAATGTTGGTGGGTTGATACCTAAACTAGGAAGATTCCTGTGTCTCAGGTTACCAACCCTCCACCCCATACAATGGTCTATGTTATAAATAAATAGATTATATTTTATTAACATTTAAGAAAATAACAATTATAAAAGTATGAGAATTTTCTAAGGTAGAAAAAAAAAACAAAATTTCGACTCGAAAAGTATTAAAAATATTATGCGGGTAGTATGCAAAAACTTACATATGTATGGCAGCAGCTACTTCGCCTGGGTAAAAAAGTATTGCTTGTGGTACAAGTTATGAGCTGTTGGCTTAATCTAAAATTAATGGCGGAGCTATGTTTACAATACAGTAAATATTGCAATATTGCGTGAATAAATAGGTATTACAGAATAGAAGTGTTTTTATTACTATAAAAATTAAACTTAATCTTAAGTACACTATTGAAATTACAAGTAGGTATAGGTGAGGTTTATTCGTGCGTGTGTGTGTATGTGTGCGACTGTCTGGATGTCTACATGTTTGTCACTCTCTCTCGCAAAAACCACTGAACGGGTTTCGATGAAACTTCACAGCATTATTTTTCACAACCAAGTATAACATAGGTATAGACTACAATTTATGACGATCCGTGAAAAAACAAATTTCACGCGGGCGAAGCCGCGGGCAAAAGCCAGTAAGTGCCTGTCCCACCGAACTCAATGACAGGGGGGCGCTACCATCGTTCAACTATATGGCTTCCAATATGGCAAAAATCGGAACCAGCGATCCTGTATTGACGGTGGCGCCCCACTGTCAATGTCATGCATAGGACAGTTCAGTATTTTGGAACTATATGCTTTGTCACATCATAATATGTCAATTCCACTCCTCCCATACCTCAGGCACTGACTAAGTTAAGCGCTAGAGCTATAGTTCCTAAATCTGTTAGATATAAGCCGTCTAGGGCAAGGAGGAAAGAAGCAGAGAGGAATGGAGCGGACAGGAAAGGAAAGGAACTATGCGGATCAAAAACAAGATTTCTCAAAAATCACACCTACATCAAAAATCACAGCTCCGCTCCGTTTCGCTCCGCTTCTCTCCTCTCCGCTAGTAGACGGGCATCTTTAAGGTAGTTCGTGAAGGAATACCTGATAGCCTACCCTGAGAGGCCGATGGTGCGGCTACACGCTGGACAGAGCTTGAAGACTGAGTGGAATGGTGAGTTGGAGAACTATAGGCTTAGCGAACAACTCAGTCAGCACCTGAGGTGTGTTAGCGGCAGGAGAGGGTGATTTTTATGTCAAACGTCATTGACACTTCAGATATGTATAGATGACCCACGCTGAACTGTCCCACCAAACTCAATAAGAAGAAAGAAAGAAAGAAAAATGGTTTATTTGGTTCAAACAGACGTTTTACACAATTTAAATTACATACATAATTTATTGAACCAAAATGGCTCCTACTCAGCTTGTATCATGTTCCGTTCAGAACATGAATGCTGGTATTCTGTAGGAACCATCTTGAAAAGAGCGTCAACCAGGGACGCAATAAACATTGGCATTTTACATAAACATTATATAAACCCCTACACTATAACACAGGGGGGCGCTACCATCGTTCAACTATGTGGTTTCCAACATAGCAGAAATCGGAACCAGCGATCCGGTATTGACGGTGGCGCCCCACTGTCAATGTCATGCATATGACAGTTCAGTATTTTGGAATTATATGCTTTGTCACATCATAATATGTCAATGCTACCCCTCCCGTGCGCTCAGGCAATGAATAAGTTAAGAGCGTTTACGCGAAGCGCGGCGTTTCAAGGGGCATCATTGGAAATGATTCGCGCGCGGCGTTTTTTAATAGTTTTCAAATGTTTATAGCAAAACAATAACAATTAATTAAATATCGTTTCAAAGTAAATATTTTAAATAAGATGTTGTTTTATTATATTAAGCTATTTTTATGTTGAATAAAAGAAGAATATTGGTGAAAAAATCACTTTGATTTTTGGGTATTTCACGTTCTTTTAATTTGTGATTTCTTATTGTAAAATGCTTAAATCTAAAAATTTTCTCAGATAACTATTTGCCCAAGTATCTATGCTATAGGATATAAATGTTTTTTAAATCGTTTTCACAGTATTTTTATAAAAATTTCAGCTTGTAAACTGACGCTAAAGTGGAAATTTACAAAACCTGTGTGGACTTATCTTGATAGAATTCTTAAATACTAAACTAATCGCAATATTTTCTCAATTAACTATTTAGACGACGAAATTGCCTAACTATTTATGCCTATAACATATTTGTAGTATTACTGGTTAATGATTGTAACGAGTTGAAAAAGTACTGTTTTTGCGCCAAACGGCGTAAACGCTCTTAAGCGCTAGAGCTATAGTTCCTAAATCTGTTAGATATAAGCCGTCTAGGGCAAGGAGGAAAGAAGCAGAGAGGAATGGAGCGGACAGAAAAGGAACTAAGCGGATCTGTAAAAAACAAGATTTCTCAAAAATCACACCTACATCAAAAAATCACAGCTCCGCTCCGTTTCGCTCCGCTCCTCTCCTCTCCGCTAGTAGACGGGCATCTTTAAGGTAGTTCGTAAAGGAATATCTGATAGCCTACCCTGAGAGGCCGATGGTGCGGCTACACGCTGGACAGAGCTTGAAAACTGAGTGGAATGGTGAGTTGGTACTAGATCTAGATTTCGGCTGTAGAAGGAATGAAGCGGAGCGGAGAGGGATAGAATGAAGTGAAGAAAAAAGGGGGTGGGCGGAACATTAGCAGAGCTACGCTAATGTAAACAAAATGATTGCTCAAAAATGTTGGCATAGCTCCGCTCCTCTCCGCTCCAAGTTTGTGAAGGAGCTAGGTAACGTACTCCTGGGGGCGTAGTGTGAGTTTTCATCTAACGTATTCGATATCGAGTGCGTAAAAAAAATCTATGTAGATTTTAGTTCTTGATAGTTTATCCGCTAGGGGCGCTGTACAATTCGTCATACATCTAGTGTCATTTTTTCGCAGTCGATATTGAATACGTTTGATGTAAACTCACACTAAGCCCCTTGAGATCGCGAAGGCATGAAAGCCGTGTCACTATGTCTTGACACTAAAGGCCCTTTCCCACGGCAATCGAGTTTTGCGGAATGCAGGATCCCAATGAGGGCTATCGTTTTTATACTTAACAGTTGGCACCCTTGGCGATTGACAGGACCTTACTCTACAGTGGCGCCATCTTGATGAGTGCAAATACGATAGTCCTCCTACCACTTTAGCGCTCACAAGTTGGCGCCAATGTCTTCGCTACTAGCAAGTGACAGGACCTTAGAGCTCTTACACACGAGCAGCACATTGACGACAGCAAAGGCGACCACAGTCGCCGTCACTTGTCGGCAGCTAGCCGTCGACGTGCCCGCAGCAAGCTGTCGACACGTCGACGGCAGACGTCGACGAGTCGACAGCTTGCTGCGGCGACCGTGTCGGCGTACGTCTTTGTACAGGAGCCAGCCAGTTGAAAATGGATTTCATTGAAGAAACACTGTTGTTGCATTTACTCCGTCGTCGTCGACGAAAGAGAAAGAACCGGTCATTGTGGGTTTAAGAAATGTTATTGAATAGAGAACGAGACTACACACACCGACGCCCATGCTCTATTTTTTAATGTTTTATTATGGTAGCCTTCTAAATTCGAGTTCCATATTATTTCATTGTTTTTGACTGCACCTGCCGGCGGCAGCCGCGAACGCGTCGACAGCACGTCGGCAGCATGTCGACAGCTAGCCGTCGCCTTCTGACGTCGACTGCAGTTACATGCGTCGACAGCAAAATGCTGTTCGTGTGTAAGAACCCTTACTCTACAGTGGCGCTAACTGGTGAGCGCTAAAACGATAGCCCTCATTGCATTGTCGTGTACACGCAAGTGTGAATTTGAAATTCGAAATCCAAATTCAATCGGTTTTTTGGTCGCGATCCTTATCAGTGAGGGGCCAATGAAGAATAAGGCCCAGAACAGACGGTGAAACGCAACTTGAAACTTTCAAACTGGTCGCGTCATGTGTGGTCTCTCAACGGACGCTATGGCAGAAATTTAGATGCAGCTCAAAAGTAACTAGTAGTTGCAGTTTCGTTGCAGTTGCGTTTCACCGTCTGTTCTGGGCCTAAGAACTCACAATAACCATTGAAACCAACTTCCTTTACAGGCAAATGGTGGGCATCCCGCGTGGTCCAAGTCGACGCGTCTCTGGTCCAAGTGCATTTCGAAGAGGACAACCGATCCGAATGGATCTACCGCGGGTCCACCAGGCTCGCACCACTGTTCTTGGCGCTGCAGAGGAAGCGAGCGCGACCCATGCCTAGGACTAAGGCGCAGCCGCAGGTGAGAATGCACCCTATGCCCTTGATATAAGACTTATTTCTGTGTGAACGCAGCGGCAAGAAATGTGACTATGATCCAGGCTGGCAACTGCAAGCGACACTGTGCCTTATGTAGACGACATTAGGCTTTTATTCGTGTGAACGAGGCGAAACAAGACATTGCAGTGACGTGACTACGCTCCATGCTGGCAGCTACAAGCGACATTTTACCTTATGCTGAAGACATAAGACTCACATTGCAGTGGGTCCACCAGGCTCGCACCACTGTTCTTGGCACTGCAGAGGAAGCGAGCGCGACCCATGCCTAGGACTAAAGCACAGCCGCAGGTGAGAACCTTATGGCCTTGAGATTAGGCTTATAATCGTGTGAACGCGGTAGCAAGAGACGAGACTTCATTCCTAGCTGACAGCTGCAAGCGACACTGTACCTTATGTAAATGGCATTAAGCTTCTTTTGTAATGGATCTACCGCGGGTCCACCAGGCTCGCACCACTGTTCTTGGCACTACAGAGGATGCCTCAGACTAAAGCGCAGCCGCAGGTAAGAATGCACCTTATGTTCTCAAGATTAGACTTATATTCGTGTGAACGCGGTGGCAAAAGACGTGACTACACTCCTAGCTGAAAGCTGCAAGCGACAGCACGCCTTATGCTGATGACGTTAGGCTTTTATTCGTGTGAATGCGGCGACATAAGACATTGCAGTGACGCACCTACAATCCAGGCTGGCAACTACATGCAATAGTGTACCTTATGCAGACGACAATAGGCTCCTTTTAGAGTGGATCTACCGTGGGTCCACCAGGCTCGCACCACTGTTCTTGGCACTACAGAGGAAGCGAGCGCGACCCATGCCTAGGACTAAGGCGCAGCCGCAGGTGAGAACCTTATGGCCTTGAGATTAGGCTTATAATCGTGTGAACGCAGCGGCAAGAAATGTGACTACACTTCAGGCTGACAGCTGCAAGCGACACTGCACCTTATGTAAATGGCATTAAGCTTCTTTTGTAATGGATCTACCGCGTGTCCACCAGGCTCGCACCACTGTTCTTGGCACTACAGAGGATGCCTAAGACTAAAGCGCAGCCGCAGGTAAGAATGCACCTTATGGCCTTAAGATTAGGCCTATATTCGTGTAAACGCGGTGGCAAGAGACGTGACTACGCTTCAGGCTGGCAGCTGCAAGCGACAGCACGCCTTATGCAGACGACAATAGGCTCCTTTTAGAGTGGATCTACCGTGGGTCCACCAGGCAACCACTGTTCTTGGCGTTGCAGAGGAAGCGAGCGCGCCCCATGCCTCGGACTAAAGCACAGCCGCAGGTGAGAACCTTATGGCCTTGAGATTAGGCTTATAATCGTGTGAACGCAGCGGCAAGAAATGTGACTACACTTCAGGCTGACAGCTGCAAGCGACACTACGCCTTATGCAGTCGACATTAGGCTTTTATTCGTGTGAACGCGGCGACATTAAGACATTGCAGTGACGTGACTACAATCCAGGCTGGCAGCTACATGCAATAGTGTACCTTATGCAGACGACATTAGGGTCATATTTGGATCTACCGCGGGTCCACCAGGCTCGCACCACTGTTCTTGGCGCTACAGAGGAAGCGAGCGCGACCCATGCCTAGGACTAAGGCGCAGCCTCAGGTGAGAATGCACCCTATGCCCTTGATATAAGACTTATTTCTGTGTGAACGCAGCGGCAAGAAATGTGACTATGATCCAGGCTGGCAACTGCAAGCGACAGTACGCCTTATGCTGATGACATTAGGCTTTTATTCGTGTGAACGAGGCGACATAAGACATTGCAGTGATGCGACTATACTCCTAGCTCACAGCTACAAGCGATAGTACACCTTATGCAGACGACATAAAGCTCACACTGGAGTGGATCTACCAGGCTCGCACCACTGTTCTTGGCGCTGCAGAGGAACCGAGCGCGACCCATGCCTAGGACTAAGGCACAGCTGCAAGTAAGAATAAATCTTATACTGTTGAGATTAGGCTCTTATTTGTGTGACTAGTTCACACCAGCTTGTCGCTACTCCTTCTGGAACTATAGGCAGCCGACTGACACTACACCTTATGAAAATCGATTATGGCCTTGATATAAGACTCTTATTTGTGTGAACTCGGCGGCGTAAGACATGATTACACTTTAGGCTGGCAGCTACAAACGACACTACGCCTTATGCAGTCGACATTAGGCTTTTATTCGTGTGAACACGGCAACTTGAGACATTGCAGTGACGCAGCTACAATCCAGGCTGGAAGCTACAAGCGACATTTTACCTTATGCTGAAGACATAAGACTCACACTGGAGTGGATCTACCAGGCTCGCACCACTGTTCTTGGCGCTGCAAAGGAAGCGAGCGCGACCCATGCCTAGGACTAAAGCGCAGCCGCAGGTGAGAATGCACCTTATGGCTTTGAGATTAGGCTTATAATCGTATGAACGCAGTAGCATGAGACTTACTACGAAGCTGGCAGCTGCAGGCGATAGTACACCTTATGCAGACGACAATAGGCTCCTTTTAGAGTAGATCTACCGCGGGTCCACCAGGCTTGCACCACTTGGCTTTGCATGGCTTATAATCGTGTGAACGCGGTGGCAAGAGACGTGACACACTCCTAGCTGACAGCTGCAAGCGACAGTACACCTTATGCAGACGACGTTTGGCTTTTATTCGTGTGAACGAGGCGACATAAGACATTGCAGTGACGTGACTACAATCCAGGCTGGCAGCTACAAGCGACATTTTACCTTATGCAGACGAATTTAGACTCACATTTGGATCTACCGCGGGTCCGCCAGGCTCGCACCACTGTTCTTGGCACTACAGAGGAAGCAAGCGCGACCCATGCCTAAAACTAAGGTACAGCCGCAGGTAAGAATGCACTTTATGACCTTGAGATTAGGCTTATTATCGTGTGAACTCGGCGGCGTGAGACATGACTACACTTGAGGCTGGCAGCTACAAACGACACTACGCCTTATGCAGACGACATTAGGCTTTTATTCGTGTGAACGCGGCAACTTGAGACACTGCAGTGACGCAGCTACAATCCAGGCTGGCAACTACATGCAATAGTGTACCTTATGCAGACGACAATAGGCTCCTTTTAGAGTGGATCTACCGCGGGTCCACCAGGCTCGCACCACTGTTCTTGGCGCTGCAGAGGAAGCGAGCGCGACCCATGCCTAGGACTAAAGCACAGCCGCAGGTGAGAACCTTATGGCCTTGAGATTAGGCTTATAATCGTGTGAACGTGGTGGCAAGAGACGTGACTACACTCCTAGCTGACAGCTGCAAGCGACACTGTACCTTATGTAAATGGCATTAAGCTTCTTTTGTAATGGATCTACCGCGGGTCCACCAGGCTCGCACCACTGTTCTTGGCACTACAGAGGATGCCTCAGACTAAAGCGCAGCCGCAGGTAAGAATGCACCTTATGTTCTCAAGATTAGACTTATATTCGTTTGAACGCGGTGGCAAGAGACGTGACTACACTCCTAGCTGAAAGCTGCAAGCGACAGCACGCCTTATGCTGATGACATTAGGCTTTTATTCGTGTGAACGCGGCGACATAAGACATAGCAGTGACGCTACTATACTCTAGGCTGGTAGCTGTAAGCGACACTACACCTTATGCTGATGACATTAGACTCACATTTGGATCTACCGCGGGTCCGCCAGGCTCGCACCACTGTTCTTGGCGCTGCAGAGGAAGCGAGCGCGACCCATGCCTCGGACTAAGGCGCAGCCACAGGTGAGAACCTTATGGCCTTGAGATTAGGCTTATAATCGTGTGAACGCGGTGGCAAGAGACGTGACTACACTTCAGGCTGGCAGCTGCAAGCGACAGTACACCTTATGCAGGTAGCATAAGGCATACATTGCAGTGACCGTGACCTAAGTAAGACAACTGCACCTTTTGCTCACAATATTGGACGTTTACAAAACTGCAGCACCTCTTGTCATAATGTTGAGATTTTATTAGAATGAACGCGACTGTCCAAGCAGCGTAGGACGTCCAGCCACAAGATGAACAGACGACCTAATAAAGGTAGCAGGAAGGTGCTGGATGCAGGCCGCTACCAACCAGTCAAGCTGGAAACCATTAGAGGAGGTTTATGTTCTGCGGCTGAAATGACGATAATGAATCTTGGATGTATTTATATTTTTAACATTTTCATAGCCCACATTATAAAATAAACGATTACTTTCACAGATAAATATGCCGTACGTGGAGTATACGAGGTCAGAAGAACAGAACAAGAACGAACCCGCACCGCCGGCGCCGGCGCCACCTAGCGAGGTAAGTTATTATTACAAATTAGTATTTTTTCTGGCACTTTGTGCATAGAATCGTGACACCTATAGTGGCATGACCTATCTGACATTGACTAGAGCATTCTAGACTCCATTTCACTTAACATCAAGTGCGATTGCGGTCAAATACCTTATTTGACACCTGATGTTTTATACAGGGTGTTACTTTGCAATCTTGCCATATTTACAGAGGTGACTATATTACTGATACTGATCACAAATCCGTTAAAAAATAATGCCCGAAAATATTTTTTAAAATCTTGAGTATTTTATTTTATCGACAATCTGTTAAACACATCACTAATTATCGTAACGCATACACATCACTTGTTGGCGATGGCGATGAAGACTTTTTACCTTTTTATTGTATTTTTCAATATCTTTTGCAATCTATTGTCTTTAAAATGTCTTTTTGACACTTGTAAAAAACTGAGAAATCCATCAATCACAAATCACGTTATCAATTATACAAAAATGTCTGAAGTGTATTCAAACAACGAATAATTTAATCAAAATGGTGCCTGGAGTGTCTGCAAGACGTCTTAGACGAAATGGTTGATGACGTACCCTTAGCGTTACACCAAATGCTCTACTACCAGCAGGATGGTGCTCCCCCACAATAAGGACGTCAAGTGCGCGAATAATACGTTTGGTGAACAGTGGATTGGACGAGTGGTCCAGTAGCTTGACCACCATGATCCTCGGACCTGACACCAATGGATTTTTGGCGTGACTTGAAACGACTGGTATGCGCAGAAGAGATAAACAGTGTAAACGCGTTACATGAAAGGATTGTTTTAGTGAAACTGTGGGACAAAACGTTTATGTGTTGCGAAAACTAAAGCGGAATACCTACGCTTCGCCGTGCTAGACTGTGCCTTCATCAGAACGGAGGACACTTTGAACACTTGCTTTGCAGTACGTAAACTTTGTAAGTAGGAACTTATAAATAAATAATTAATTGTGAATAAGGTGATTTCATTTCATACTTAATTTATTAATTTGTAAAAATAGGGTACAATGTTAAAATTAATTAAAACCTTAATAATTATTACGTATTTTTGACGGTCCTAAGCCCGTAAAGTAGAAACTGAGAGTAGAAAGGAAAATCTGAAATCAACTGAAGAGTATTTTAAAATAATTATTATGACTGGATAAAAAGGCTAGTACCCAGAGCCATAAAACAACAGATTATTAAGAACTAGGCCACGCCCACTAGGTTTATTCCACTTGCACCTGTAGAACGTGCAAGACAAAATTGGTTTATTCCGATTTGTACTGAAAAACCAAATTTACTAAAATCTTAGTGTACTTTCTTTATGGGAGTCTCTTGTTTATCTTAAATAATAGGCACGGTAATAATATCATACAGTATTGTAACTTCATATAAACCGACGAAACGCGAGCATTCCTTCGAATTTCAAATCTCGGTACGCGGTCGAAAGTAAAAGTTAGGGGTGTCGCGAATGTGCCGAACGGACGTCGATGGCCTAGTGTTGAAAATGACTAAGTTGATTGAATTTGACTTACCGTCTTAAACGGTCAAATTTGTCAAAAACTACCTAGTCATTAACTGTCAGAAATGGTCATTTTCAGTAAGTTTGATTTGAAATGAAAATTATATTGTATTTAAAACCAGCTTTGGCCCACGACTTCACCCGCCTGAAATTAAAGTAACAGGTCATTATGATTAGTAGATTCAAAATTATTTTAGTATATTTTTTTAAATTAAATCTACTAATCACAAAACAACACGCATTTTTATCCTATTCCATTCAAAAAGTATTTTGTTTGTCTAAATAAAAAAAAATAACAATACTAGATAGAAATTCTAAGTAGACAGATGTAATTAGAATGGGTACTGTAGGTGAGCAGCCCTATCGCATGTTGTCATACCGTGACGTACCGCGGGGCTGTTGACATTTATTTCAAAAATATGGCCGAGTTGGAATACTGTATAGATAGTATTACCGTGTAATAGGTATTGTTACCTACTTTTATCTCTGTGAATATGGCAAGAATGCAAAGTAACACGGTGTATATTTAATCTTTAATGTCATATATGTAGTGGGTACATAACATGTTTACCTGACCAGCAGCTCGCGAATATATTTTTTTTAGCAAACTGAGGATAGCGCTGTAAGCGCTACATTAGGTACTAATGATTTCTCATGTATTTATCTAATATTATTTTAATTATGTTGTTTTGTAGTCGTTTCCTCTTCCCTAATAGAATAGAATAAAAAAACCTTTATTTGACACGAAAACACAAATGAAAATGAACAAATAAAAGAAGAGAAAACACAAAAAAAAAAAACATTAAACACACAACATTACAATAAACATAATAAATATCTTTTGCCAAAAAGCCGCCGCCCGCTCAGTATTAATCACTGACACTGGTTTTCAGCGGGTGCCTCTGTGTGTGTAATAAATAAAATAAGATGAACTTAATGCCATTGGGCTTTCTCTGCCAGTTAACCTTTAGGCTAAACAGAAAAACTTGTTCTGTTTAAAACAAAACTTACATCTATCCAATAACTTTCAGAGGGAGAACCGTCAGCGAGCAGTGGCCAAGAAGTCCACAGCGTTACCGCCCGTGCCGCACGCGCCTGCGCCGCCGCCCGTCGCCGATAGCGTCACCAGCAGAGTCGTGGTCAGTATATCCCCACCATGCGTGTATGATTTCCCACCATTCCCACCTCTCGTTCCCACCGCTGCAACTCCTGTGTAACCATGACTCTTCCTAAAAGCAGCCGCCGCCCGCCGCCGATAGCGTCACCAGCAGAGTCGTGGTCAGTATATTCCCACCATTTGTGTATGATTTCCCACCATTCCCACCTCTCGTTCTCACCACTACAACTCCTGTGTAGCCAGGATCTTGTTCTTACCTCTCGTTTCCACCGCTGCAACTCCTGTGTAGCCAGGATCTTATTCCCACCATTCCCACCGCTTCAACTCCTGTGTAGATCCTGACTACTTATAGTGTTTCCAGCAGAGTCGTGGTGAGTATATCCCCACCATACGTGTATGGTTTTCCAACAATCCCACCTTTCTTTCCCACCGCTGCAGCTCCTGTGTGATCCTGGTTACTGACAGCGTCACCAGCAGAGTCGTGGTGAGTATATTCCCACCTCTCGTTCCCACCGTTGCAACTCCTGTGTAACCATTACTCTTCCTAAAAGCAGCCCGACACTGACAGCGTCACCAGTAAAGTTATGGTGAGTATATTCCTACAATTCCCACCTCTCGTTCCCACCGCCCCTCAGGCTTATAACCTAGATACCTCCCCGGCTTAGACACAAGTATGAAGTAGCCTGTAACTAGCCGTGTGTCTCGCAGTCTTGGTGAGTATATCCCCACCATTCCCAGCTCTAGTTCCCAACTCCTGTGTAGCCAGGATCTTATTCCCACCATTCTCACCTCTCGTTCTCACTGCTGCAACTCCTGTGTAACCATGACTCTTCCTAAAAGCAGTAGCTGCCCGCCGCTGACAGCGTCACCAAACTAGTTGTGGTGAGTATATCCCACCATTCCCACCTCTCGTTCCCACCGCTGCAACTCCTATGCAGCCAGGATCTACAGCTTGACCGCCAATGAAAAGCTTGGAATCAGACAGCGCTGCGTTTGACATCATCAGCAGGGTTGTAGTGTCAGCAACAGAGTTTTAGTGAGTTTATGATCAATTTCCCACCATTCCCACCTTCCCTTTGTGTGTCTAAACCCAGGAGATTTCTGAAAACCCTGCCCTGCATAATAGATCGATGGGGCAAACGTGGTAAGTGGACAGAAATACGTCCCTCGAAATCTACCTTACGTCCTCCTTATCCTTAAGTATCTAAACCCAGGGGACCCTTCTTGAAACTCGTCTGAGGAGACCCTTCTTGAACTGTCAGAGGTCGTGACAAGGCAATCTGTCAACGATGCAATATGCGTTCTTTGCTCCTAACCGCATAAATACAAAATGTAAAGAGACCGACAAAGTTCGTTGTTTTCACTTTGACCTGACCGCAGATTGCAGAACGCATCCAGTGTGGCAAGTCCTTTAGCTCCATTGAGAAACAGCGTTAAAAGCTCACAAAAATTTACTAAATTGACTGCTTATACATATATTCTCTCTTACAGTACTACACGCCCAAAAAAGTGGTCACGCCTCTAAAGATGATCACTCACAACTGCGGAGCGCACTGTAAGAGGAAGGATGTACTGGCGCTGAAGGATCTGAGGACTTACAACCCGCTGGCGAAACCACTGCTTAGTGGCTGGGAGAGGTGAGTCGATAAGGCACCTTGCGTTGTAGTGTTAAGTGTGGTTTTGCAATTTACAGTGTGATAGGCTGAACATAAGCCCCTTTGAAAATCATTACTTAAACTATGTTATTAATTTGATATTTGGTCTGTCTATGCCATTTTAGTAATCGCGTGTATTGCCTCATTTCAAAATCAGGAAATAAAAAGTAATGTCTATTGACCAGAGTATCCACTACCCTATGTATTGACTTCAAAGCTGTGAAAATCCGCAATTGTTATGTTTGCCTTCCCACTTGGCGCCACTGTAAAGTAAGGTCTTGTCACTCGCTAGTAGCTGAGACATTAGCGCCAACTGGTGAGTGTAGAAGCGGTAGGAAAACTATCGCATTTGGCGATCGTTTTTATACTTAACAACCACTGACGAGTGATAACAAAGAAAGAAACATTTATTACGATGAACATCACTTAGTTAAGGACAGAGAAGGTATACGGAAAAAAAGACACAACAGCGCAACAGCGATGCCCATCGCAATGGGATCCCACTCAGCATATGCCGTGGCCCACAGTGGGGAAAGCCACGACGCTGATAGTACCTTACTCTACAGCGGTGCCATCTGGTGAGGGCAAATACGATAGTCCTTATTGCAAGATTCTAAATAAAACCTATATTAATCTCCAACTACCTTCATCCAGACAAATCGTCCGCTACAAAGGTCACAAGGAAGTGATGTACAAAGCGCCGTGCGGCCGCCGCTTGCGCAACATGAGAGAGTTGCACAGATATCTCCGTCTCATCGAGTCTGACATGGCGGTGGACCTGTTTGACTTTACGCCACACACGCACTGTCTAGCTGAGTTCGTGTTGAACAAGTGCCTGGTTGGGAAGAAGGTGCGTAAAGTTGATAATAGATGGCGCTGTTTAGTTTGGCTGAACCGCGGTGTCCAGATTTTTTTCTTGGTACTTATAATAGCCACTGGGCTTCAGTTTAGTCACTTGACGCGCGCGCGCACGGGTTACTTACCACTGTTGTGATAGTAAAATCGAGTTAATGTTGCATTATAGCAAATCCCCCTCAAATTCAATTTACTAATATAGTCTATGTCTCTCCATAGATAACAATATGTACTACAGTGCCTCTCTTTTTATCTTTATAAAAGTGTAAAAGAGAAAGACATACTGTCACAGCGACAAAAAGTCACCCGTACGCTCATATCCTAATATTCACTATAGAAAACTTACTTTAAAAGCTGATTTTTCAATCGTCACATATCTTTTAACTGAAGAATAAACTTGTCATTTTGACATATTAATGGACAATTTGACACCATTCTCCAATTGAAATCACAACTTTTCTAAAAATACACTTCATTCTGGTCTTAAAAACTTAATTTATTTTAAATTACCTGTAAATTACGATTTTTGGTCGCATTCTAATTGAAAAAAGTAGTTTATTTGAGTTGACAAAATAGTGACGTCACTTGCTTGTAGTACCGTACAAAATCTATGGGAGAGTTTCGTTTTGACAGTTTTAAAAAGTACGTCAATTGATTGGTTGTGTCAACATGTCTATTCTCATACTGAAACTGTCAATGTGCCAAACTTATTCTTCAGTTAAAAGTTATCCGATGATTGAGAAATCAGCCCTAAGATAAATTCGGTCTTAGTTTTATATTATTTTAGTTACAGATTTTTTGCCTTATCACTTTTGATATTATGCTATCAAACACCAAACTAACGTCAAATCAATTCCCAGGACCTATCCCACGGCCGAGAAAACGTGCCAGTCCCATGCGTGAACTACTACGACGAGTCGCTGCCGGAATTCTGCTCGTACAACACGGAACGGACGCCCACTGCTGGGGTCCCACTGAATCTGGACCCCGAGTTCCTGTGCGGGTGCGATTGTACTGATGATTGCGAGGTAAGACTATAGGCTATATTAACCTTATCTATATATATAAAAGAAAGTCGTGTTAGTTATTACTCCACTTATAACTCAAGAACGGGTGAACCGATTTAGCTGAAAATTGTCAGGGAGGTAGTTTAGAGCCAGGAGAAGGACATAGGATACTTTTTATCCCGTTCGAAATTTAAAAAAAAAGTCTGCTTATTTACCATTAAGGCGGAACAAAGTTCGCCGGGTCAGCTAGTTAATGATAAATAATAACGTTAAACGTATAGACTATAATTACAACAATACTAAGTTAATTTGCTACTTTAAGGACGTTTATCAACTCGAGGCGATCAGTATTCTTTGTATGAAACTCCATACTGCAACGCACACTTATCCGCACCGTAACGTAAACGCCTCGCCTCGCGGTTGACAGCGCGCGAAAGGCGATACGGTGTTGATCCCTTTCCGAGTTGATAAATCTTCATTATTATTATATATTCATATATATTAAATTCAAAGATAATAAAATACCTAAAATTAATAGTATAGCCTGACCAGGAACATAAAAACCCTGGCATAGAGGCGCTTCAATTGCATTTGATAGTGCAACACTGAGTACAGTCGTACATGTGTTAAATTAATAGGCTAAATTTATGTATCAGGATTCAGGATTACGGGCTAATTTGATATTTTCATAAACTAACGAAAAATATTATTAAAGGTAACCTGGTTTAAATAAATTAAATGAAACCATCAATCGAGCTAGTAGGATTTATTTTATTATTCATCAATAATCAAATTCAGAACTTGAATATTCAACTGCAATGTCTGCTCATGAACGCTTCAAACTCGGTACTTCTTTCCCAATTCCATAAAATTCAAAACTTAGAAAGTGACAAAAAACTTTAAAATAGGTAGTTGAAACAGACTACAGCTAATTTTCATAGTGGACTGTACTATACGATAAACATGTCAGTCAATTTGACAACCTTTGTCGGAAACATTATTCAATGAAAATATTGTCCGAACCCTTAGTATTTCTCTTCGACAAATACATTAACACATCGTGAACCACTTTTCTTTCACGACTATAAAAATATTTTAGCAATTTAATTCACAAAATCAATTGCACACATTTAAAATAAAGTTTGTTTACACTTTGACAACAATAGACTGACATGCAAGGTGACATGTCAATGAAGTTTTCAGTTACTGTTGCCATTAAAAGAAATTAGTACCATTAGTTTTCCGCAACATGGCGAGGGTTTTTATGTTCCTGGTCAGGCTATACAAATAATACTACATAGCAAAACTTTATGGCTTATATTAAGCCTATATTTGTATAGAGAAAAATATTTTTATCTGTTTTCTCTTCTCTCTGACTCTATTTATTGGTCCTTCGAGCCGGATTATTTAAAAACAATGCGAAATTTTAGCTCTCTAGTCTGGTTAATTTAACCCTTGTAGTGTTTAGTGTTTTCATTTCATTTATTTATTCCAATAAAAAAAACATTGTGTAGGAAAATTAATTAGTGTAGGAATACTACTAACTTGCCCACTATTCTCCAGGACAAGTCGAAGTGTGCTTGCTGGCAACTGACATTAGAGGGAGCTCGTACCATCGGGCTGGGCGGCCCACGCGTGGGATACGAGTACAAGCGGCTGCCTGAACCGCTACCTTCAGGAATATATGAATGCAACTCTAGGTAATAATTTTTTATTTTACTATAGGCCGCTAAAGCCTGGTCCGTGAGCACGTAGAATTTTGTCCAATGACCCTAAGCTACCCATCCTTATCGCTCGCGCGTAATTATATTGCTGTCGCGACTGTGCGACGCTCGCCCGCAGTGAGTGCGAGCGAGACAGCAACATAATTACGCGCGAGCGATAAGGATGGGTTGCTTGGGGTCATTGGACAAAATTCTACGTGCTCACGGACCAGGCTTTACCAACCGTGCGATATGGAAGTCATTGGGGGAGGCCTTTGTTCAGCAGTGGACGTCCTATGGCTGAAATGATGATGATGATGATGTTTATTTTACTATAGGTCTAACTGAGTCAGTGCCTGATGTATGGGCGGCACAGAAGGGATTCGTTTCAGCCAAATGACGTCCACTGCTGGACTAGCGATGGGCGTTATTCGTTATCACGGGTTATTAAACGAGTGATCAGCCTGACCAGTGATCACTCGTTATCCAGAAACGCCTAAACCAGTTTTTTTCTTAACGTCATACAACGTTAGAATCTCTTTGTTATTCAACACGATTGTTTCCACAACGCTCTAAAGCTAAACTGAATTCACACTTAAGCAAACAACATAAGGTAGATGTTTGGTTGACATAAAAAATAACGTGTTTCCCGCTTCGTTATGACAGATTTGAGGACAACGTCGTACATTGACGATTCTTAAACATATTTTTTGTAACCTAAAGGAGTAAAGCGAGTAATGTATGGTGTCTAATTAATAAGGATCGTAACGAAACGAGTGCGTGTGCGAGTGAGAAAGCCATAGGACGTTAACATAAGTGTGGATGAAATAGGTATAATGTTCGTCGTACGTTAGATATTCAATTGAATCTGAGTCTTATTCTGAAGGTCATAAGTTCCTAAATGTCTTGCAGCTAATCAAACACCTAACGTTATAATTATCACGCTTGCTTGAGAGTTGTGGAAATAACTTCGTTTAAAAAAAACTAGTTTTGAAAACGTTATTCGTCATTCGAAAATCGTCGCGTTTAGTTATTTCAAAAACCCATAACGACACATCCTTATGCTGGACAAAGGCCTCCCCTAAGGCTTTCCATAACGACCGGTCCTGCGCTGCCCGCATCCACGTTCTTCCCGCGACCTTCACCAGATCGTCGGTCCACCTAGTGGAGGGCCCACACTACGTCATTCGGCCCGTGGTCGCCACTCGTGAACTTTCCTGCCCTAACGGCCATCGTCTCTACGAGCTATGTGCCCCGCCCACTGCCACTTATGTCACTGACTTTTCTGAGGGCTTAGTGTCATCCGTCACTAGCGAGCGTGTTAAAAACTATATGAAGATGTTAGTTCTTGAAAGTTTCCGCTAGGGGCGCTGTACAATCCGTCATACATTTAATGTCACTTTTTTACGCAGTCGACATCGAATGCGTTTGACGTAAACTCACACTACGCCCCCTGTTTATTTTTTGGTGAATCGTGTTTGTATTATGTATTAATCTTTTCAGGTGCAAATGTAAGCACACGTGTCTCAATAGAGTGGCCCAACATCCACTGCAATTGAAGCTGCAGGTATGAAATAAGATTTAAAAAAGTTTTGTACTCTTTAGATACCACGGTTCATGAGTGCCTGGTGACAGACAGACAACGGACAATGGAGTCTTAGGCTGGATGTATTTTGTATGGAGTTTGACAGATTTTTGACGTTTGTTAAAGTAAGATGGTGCAAATCATCATTATGCTGAGACCACACTAGCGGCTAACGTCAATGCCCAATAGCGCGATAATGATTGCGACACTGACGCAGTGTGGTGTGGCCGCTTCATCGCAATAATTCTTGCGTTAATCTCTTGTATCGCCACTTAAGCTAAGCAATGTTAATGCCGTTGTCAAATTATCGCGTTAGGTCGTGGCTACACCTACGTTAACGTTCATTATCGCAAATAATCAATGGCATTTCTCGTAATTGTGGCCCAAGCACTAGTAATAGGCTCCCGTTTTTGCCCCTTGGGTACGGTACCCAATAGGTTCGGCCAAACCAACGGTTGCACGCCTGCTACTCGCGTTGTTTGGCTCAGCCAATCTTTAGAGAGACTTTGAAAAAATACTTTGTTTTTCTCGTCTTTTTGTCTTTGTTTTGTTTTATTTAAAAATGAAAATTGAAATTTATTTACTTTTGCAGGTATTCAAAACCCTGAACCGTGGGTGGGGCATCCGAGCGCTCAATGATGTGCCCAAAGGATCCTTCCTGTGCGTGTACGCAGGAAATCTGCTCACAGACGCCACCGCTAATATGGTAGGTCATCATCAGGTCATGTAGAAAGAAAGAAAACACTTATTTGGTTCATAAAAAAATTACACAGTTTAAAAATAAATAGATATGTGCAACAATTTGTTATTACAACCACAGAATATTAAAAAGTACTACGTACAGAAGTTTTACTTTGCGAAGGTATTTAAAAAAATGTATGCTCAATGTCATTAACAATATGGTGTAATTTAGACTGTCTCAAGAGTCAAGCACCATTTTGTTGACAAACGTCAGTGATGACGACAAACGGCAATGCGCCGAAGCTATAGGGCTGACTTCGGTAAAATGATGTGACGTGAGGTGCCAAACTGCGGAAAATGGCGGAGGAAATACATGATTTAACATGAATTATCATGAATAATATTAACTACTTATTTACCTCTCAGTGTCTTGAGGCAACTTAACCCTTAAGTAACACCGTGGGGTATTTTTTTACCCCAGGCGCATAAAAATTTACATATCTTTTTTTCTAGCGTAGCTAGTGCAATGTCGCTTTGTGTATTCTCAATCCAGAGTGTGCGCTTTAAGCTCGTAGATGCGGGATGTGAAAAAAATCATCCGTTTGGCTTGTACAGGTAGGTGGGGCAGAAATTTACCCCAGGGTGTTAGTTACGCATACTTTAATTTATCATCACCTAACATGTTATTAATATGTTTTTACAACATTGAAACAAAATGAGTAAATATTTATATGACGATTAAGTAGCACATTGTCTCTAGAATGCAGAGAGATAATTAGAGCTTGATTTACATGATACTTTTCGAACTTTGAAGACATCCCCTCAGAACAGAGCGTTCATAAATTTGACACAGAAATAGGGCTCAAAAGTGATAATTACCCAGTAATTCAGCGTGTCTGATGTGTTTTGAAAAAAAATAATTAGGAATAAAATAAACAAAAAATATTTTTAATTATTTTTTCATAATTTTATAAAAAAAATAAGTTTTATTGTCTTGCTTTATTATAAAGCCAGAAATTTTCGTTTTATTTCATTTTGTGTTTAAAATATGCATAAAACATCTATTTAATGTCCGATTAGTGTAAGTTTTTGGTTCCCACAATAACTTTCCAAGATTTTTCTAGAAGACCATTGTGGAGACTATTAGTTACTAATGACAAATTATTTGTTTTTTGTTATGATTGATTTAAGGTGTTTCTTTACGCTAGATAGACGTTCTTTTAAAGCAATCGTATAATTCAGTGAGTCCATTAATACATTGTAAATCACAAAATTAATTGATTTTAAATATTTACTTAAAATTTTTCAATTTCCTTTTGGGGTAATTTTTTGCCCCAGGGTGTTCAAAGTGTAACCAAAAATAAGGATGTTACTTAAGGGTTAAAAAAATACATTCTGTGTTTTTATTATTATTTAGGCAGTTGAATACTGCACAGTATTTAGTACACCATTTTCTTTATTTTCTTCCATCATACACAAGAATACGCGTGCGTGAGTCAATGTTCGCTCGTATGTGAGGCCTTGTCGAATAGTATCCTGTAGGTGGGCCTTCGTGCGTGTTTTGTTTTCGATGTAAACTCGCGTTGATGAACAGGCCTGTTACAACGCATAGATTAATAAAGCCTAGATAGATAGTAGGCGCACGAAAAGTGAGGCAACTTACTTGAAACTTTTTTGTTTTAGTTAAATGTTTTATTAAATAATTATTAAGTAACAAATAATAACATTTTTTACGATATATTTGGATAAAAATATCTCAATTTAAAACAATGTTTTATTTTATTTTATATTATTAGGGACAACAAACAATTGTACAAACGGTTTTACAAAAAGTCTTACAGATATATCTTAAATAAATGCACAACCAGCACCGTTATCCACGAAAATAACAAATAGAACAGTTTTGACAGTAATGACATGATTTTTGTCTCGCTTTTGACGAAGCGTTTGTATGAAGATTATCCATCTCATCTAGAATTTATTAATCTAAGTTAAAACTAAAACATAGGATAGATTTTATTCCGGATTTTGTATATCGATTAGTAAAATGATTGTTTTTCTTTAAGGACGGTCTCAATGAAGGCGACGAGTACTTGGCTGAGTTGGACTACATAGAAGTGGTGGAGGGAATGAAGGAAGGGTACGAAGAGGATATACCGGAGGCCGACAAGCGCTTGGACAAGGTACGGCTAATAAAAACTGGCTATTTTGAAATATATGATAGAAACAAATTGAAATGTCTCAGAATCTTCAAGGCAATTTATGCTAGCAATAGAGAATGTGCATTTTTTTTTAATTTTTTGCATTTCTTTAGCCTTGACATTATCAAGTCATCAAGTACTTTTCATCTATACTAATATTATAAGGCATGTATTTAAATGATCTTTTTAAATTAGCAAAAACGGCAAATAAAAAAAACTAAATGGTCATCTATTTTAATGATTGATCCTCTTTCTTTGAGACATAAAATAAATGAAATCGATCGATATTTTAACCTCTTTTGAACTACGCAAAAAAAAATTGAGATGTAAAAATTATATATGATCGTTACTTGTTGGTCCTCAAAAATAAAAGAAATGAGCACCAAATATTCAATATTGTGATACTTTTTTAAATAATTCGATTTGTATAAATTATTTTTTGTCTATATCAAATAATCTTCAAAATAATTATGTTATGGTACTTATTTTTATTAAGTTGTAGTCAAAGGATGTCACTGATCACGGTCGAGATCGGTATACTAAGAGAAAATCAACCTTGCGATTTGAAAAAAATAAAGAGGTAAAAATTATGATGTCGGGTTCAGGGATGTCAGAAGTAAGAAATTATTTTACATAGCGCCTCTAGTCCCAAACTAAGCAAAGCTTGTAATTTAAACAAACATGGCAATGTACCATTCTGCTTGCTTATTGGCCGCTAAGCCCTTGGCCAACTCAGTAACCAATGACGGACGATTGTCACTCAACCACAAAGTACCGCGTAAATTAAAAGATATTTTTTAATTAAAAATATTAACCAATAATATTTTTTGTTAGATCAAATATATTTTAAAGTTAAGTTATACATAGATCGAAATGTATTTATTAGGTGATCAATATTAAAAGGCAAACTTGATATAAAAATCATCAAATTAACAAAATTAAAGATCAATAACTAAAAAAGAGGATCAAATATTATTTTTGTTTACCGAATATTAAAAGAGTATATTAAACATGAATATTATGTTACCTTTAATGAAGATCATTCATAATTTATCCGTAGATCAACTAATATAGACCCAATAATTAATATAAAGATAAAATATAATAAAAAACATCATTTATTTTTAAAAGTGCACATACAAAAAAGATCAATTAGTTTTTAGAGGATCAAATAATATTGTCCCATATTATAAATGCGAAAGTATCTCTGTCTGTCTCGCTTTCACGCCTAAACCACTGAACCGATTTTGATGAAATTTGGCATAGAGATAGGTTGAGTCCCGGGAAAGGACATAGGATAGTTTTTATCCCGGTTTTTGAAACAGGGACGCGCGCGGTAAAGTTTTTCTGTGACAGACAAAATTCCACGCGGGCGTAGCCGCGGGCGGAAAGCTAGTAAGTAAATAAAACTCATTTATTTCGGACCGGAATCCATACTGTTAGTTATAAATAAACTTATAAACTATGTTAAAGGTTATAGCGCTTGACTTAGTGCCTGAGGTACATGGGAGTGTCACGGGAAGGGTGACATTGGCATATGACGTGACAGCATAAAAGTCTGAAGGAAATCTGAAGTCTCGCTAACGCAAAAACCCGTGCTGCTTCCATACCTCAGGCACTCAGTTAAGCGCTGGACAACAATAAAAAAGTAGTGGCAGTACAGATTATGTACATATTCTCAAATTTGGACAAAATTATAGTATTTGTTGATAAACAACAAAAAACCTGTTAGGTTTTTAAGGACAGAACAGACGGTGAAACGCAACTGCAACTTTCAAACTGGTCGCGTCATGTGTGGTCTCTCAACGGACGCTATGGCAGAAACTTAGATGCAACTCAAAAGTAACTAGCAGTTGCAGTTTCGTTGCAGTTGTGTTTCACCGTCTGTTCTGGGCCTTATCCTTACACTATGTTTGTCAATCAACAGAAGAACGTGGCGAAAGACTCAGAAGAATCTGAGATGTCCAGCTCGGAGGAAGAAGACGAAACCCCGTCGAAGAACGAGCAAGAAGACGGCGACTTTTGTCCTGGAATCATCACGTCTGGGGTCACTAAGTTTAGGTAATAACAACTGCTAAAGTCCGGTCGCTGAACATGTAGAATTTCGTCCAATGACCCCAAGCTACCTATCCTTATCGCTCGCACACTCACTGCGGCCGGGTCATTGGACGAAATTCTACGTGCTCAGCGACCGGACTTCAGTATGACGGCTTATACAAACGACGTGTCAAGCGAAACATCATGCATCTATTTCTGCAATTCGCTCATCATCATTTCAGCCATAGGAGGTCCACTGCTGAACAAAGGCCTCCCCCAATGATTTCCATGTTGATCGATTGGTAGCGGCCTGCGTCCAGCGCCTTCCTGCTACCTTTATGACGTCGGTCCACCTTGTAGACGTCTCACGCTGCGTATTTCGCTACGTGGCCTCCATTCCAGAACCTTGCTGCCCCATCGGCCGTCAGTTCTGCGTACTATGTGCCCTGCCTATTGCCACTTCAGCTTGATAATCCGTCGGGCTATGTCAGCGACAAAAAGTGATACTCAATAATAATTAATAATACAAGAAATACAAATAAACTTGCCGTTTCAAATTATAGACTGTAGTTCATTCTTAGCAAATAGTATTGAAATTGATTAACATTTAAGTACCATAATCTCTTGTAAAGCCCGGTCCGTGAGCACGTAGAATTTCGTCCAATGACCCCAAGCTACCCATCCTTATCGCTCGCGCGTAATTATATTGCTGTCGCGACTGTGCGACGGGCGCCCGCAGTGAGTGTGCGAGCGCGACAGCAACATAACTACGCGCGAGCGATAAGGATGGGTAGCTTGGGGTCATTGGACGAAATTCTACGTGCTCACGGACCAGACTATAGAATAGAACTGCCTATACGTCATGAATATAAACGAAATTCATAAGTAACAGAGTTGAAAATTGGATAATATCTCGACAGCAAACGCCTGCGGAAGCGAGAAAAAAATAAAAAGAAGAAAGAAGAGGAAGCTGCCAAGGAGAAAGATAAGGAGAAAGATGGAAAATCCGAGTCGGACTTCATCACCATCAGCGATGATGAAGAAGGTTAGTCAATCATTATCTTAATAATAATAACTCGAAATATGTCGATACGGACTGTGGTGTAGATTCTATTGTCTAGAACTCTAGACCAGCGATTCCCGAAAGGTGGTCCGCGGAACACTGGGGTTCCGTGGAAAGGCCGCAAGGGTTCCGTAAAAAATATTATCCCACGTTTCGTGACCGACGTTGTTCGCTCGCACCGACTTGTTTACGCACAAGGGAGGGGCAGGGCGTGCGGGCGGAGTAGTACGCTAGGAAAAGTATAATCAATTAGGGTTCCTTGGCAAAAAAAAATTTGGAAACCCTGGTCTAGACTAGCAGTGCAACGATAAATAGAATAATTTGTATTGTTGTTCCATCTCGCTATTTTCTTGTGCCAAGGCGCCATTTTTGTGCCACTGCGCCGTAATGTTATGGTAAGGCGCCATTATGTTATGTCAAGCGCCATTTTGTTGTGCCATGGCGCCATTTTGCTGTTTTATTTCTTTTCCTTTTTGTAACCAATAACATATCTGAAAATTTTGTTCACAGTTCGTGAGCCATCTCATTTCATGGCACAAGCCGGGATGGGGAGAGATTTCATATCAAAATACAAGTAAGTATTAGAAAATATATTTTACCTGTCTAATTTACCAGAGGCAAATGGAGGATTTGTCCTACACTCCCCACGCTGGCCAGACGGGTTGGGGAGGCCTGATGTTCGCATATTTGTCCCTAAGCCGCCTCTTACAACATCCACGGGAAAAATATGGGGCTGACGCTATACACCACTACATTTTTATCACCGAAAAAAAATCTGGGTAATGAGTTATTGATACTGATCCTATTTATGCAAAAAAAAAGTTAAATAAAGTTACACAAAATTTCATCCCAAAATTGGTCATTTATGGACACACGCGTCGCTAGCACTATTTACGTAAGATAATGTAACATTTATTAGAACTCAAAATTACTTGAAGTTTGCTAAGTAATAATAACACTGGAAGCGTGGTCGAGGCGTGAGCGAGACAGACAGATCGATGCAACATGCGAGCGCGTACGACTACTCTAGCGAGCAGCGGAGTGACCCAGCTGTGACGCGTAAAATATGGACTAAAGAAAATTTATTAAAAAAAGGATTTATTTAAAAATAGAACATTTTTTTTTTTACTTTACATTTTTCACACATTTCTACATAAGCTGTTAAAATTTTTTCGATGATAAAAATGTAGTGGTATATAAAAGGGGACATTGATAACCCATGGCCTTATTTTTTACTGTGAAACTCTTGAGTTTCTCTCAATTTTACTTACTTATACTATGACACCCTGTATATTTATGAAATACTAAAATACCGTATCATTTTCAGATCAGTTCGTTCGTACTTCGGCAAAGATGAGGCTTGTTACATTATGGACGCCAAGGTTCAAGGCAATATTGGCAGATATCTTAATGTAAGTAACTTACTAAAGCTTAAGTTTTGCTATAGTCTGGTCGCCGAGCATGTAGAATTTTGTCCAATGAGCCCAAGCTACCCATCCTTATCGCTCGCGCGTAATTATATTGCTGTCGCGACTGTGCGACGGGCGCCCGCAGTGAGTGTGCGAGCGATAAGGATAGGTAGCTTGGGGTCATAGGACAAAATTCTACGTGCTCGGGGACCAGACTTTAGATGGCACTGTTTAAAATGTCCATGAAGAAATGTAGCCAAAGTCTGTTGCACCGAACGAAACACATCGGCCATGTATTTTTGCCAAATAGTCGTCGACTACTAATGTTTCCGGGTAGTCGACTTGCCCGACTAGTTGATACATTTCTAGTAAACGTTTTGGTTTCTATATACATCACTGAGGGACAAAGCAACTCCCTTCTTCCTAGAGTCCACCATCTACTGGTGACTGTAGCCAACGAGATCATTTCAGAAGCGGTCCCTCTACGTAGGCGGTTGTTTTCTGACAATAAAATTGCCCAAATTATGCTTTTACTAGCTTTTTCCCGCGACTTCACGCGTGAAATTTAGTTTGTCACATATCGTCATAAATTATAGCCTATGTGTTATTCTGGGTTATAAACAATAAAACTGTAAAGTTTCAACAAAATTCGTTCAGTAGTTTTTGCGTGAAAGAGTAACAAACATCCAGACATCCAAACTTTCGCATTTATAATATTATAGTAAGATTATATTTGTTGTGTCATAATGTGTGTGCTGTCTGTTTTTAATAAGGGTTGTCCCCTCAATGAGGGTTTTCGCGAATGAAAAATCCGCCAGGTGGCAATACTTAGACGCGAGGTCCAAATGCTGCATGATTGGTTATTTTTGACATGACATTGACAGATATGTCAAAAGCCACCAATCACGCAGCAGTCAGACCCCACATCCACGTCCCGCCATCTAGCGGATCTTTCATTCGCGAAAACCCTCATCTAGCAATCTACATTTAATATATTTATAATATTTTGTCCACAGCACTCCTGCCAGCCCAACGTATTCGTGCAAAACGTATTCGTAGACACACATGACCCGCGTTTCCCATGGGTGGCGTTCTTCGCTCTGTCCCACATAAAGGCAGGTACGGAGCTCACTTGGAACTACAACTATGACGTGGGTTCGGTGCCCGGTAAGGTCTTGTACTGTTACTGCGGCGCGACTAATTGTAGGGGGCGTCTGTTGTAAGTCACGTGACTGATACTAGCTTCGCAATGTAGTCTTTGGTGTTTGCAGTTTTGTTAGATGTCACGTTGAAAATCAAGTGACAAATACTAGGTCCAAAATGTAGTAGGTTAATACTGTATCACCTTTTGTAGTTATGAATTTTGTAAGACATGATGATAATATCAATATTAAGTGACAAATACTAGGTCCTGAAATCTACTAAGTTAAATCTTAGGTTACTGTATTACCTTTTGTGGTTAATGACTTTGTAAGACGTCACTTGATAATATCAATCATCATCATCTCAGCCATAGGTCGTCCACTGCTGAACATAGGCCTCCCCCAATGCTTTCCATGTTGCCCGGTTGGTAGCGGCCTGCGTCCAGCGCCTTCCTGCTACCTTTATGATATCCGAAATGTACTAGGTCGATATAGGTGGCATAACGAAAGTTGAGGCGAACACGTACTCACACTGATGTAATATTTGAATACAGAACAGAAACATTCAAGTTGTAATATCGACGACCACTATCTCGTTCTTGTTAAATACGTGCAAGCGAGACAGAAAGCACTTGTCAGTCCGACTACGCAAGTCGTCAATACGACGAGCGTGTACAGATACAAAACTTTGCTTGTGTTGATCGTCTCAACTATTATTACGCGACCTATACTGCATGTCTTTGGTCGGAGATTTGACACTATCAAGTGACTAGCTTCGAAGAATACTTCGATATTACTGTCCCTTTTCCGTCATTTTAGTCATTACCTTATTACAAGAGACACTCTTGTTGATATTTCATATCATGTGCTAGCTAAGTTTTTTTGTTGTGTTTAAATGTAACAAATACTAAGTTCTCAAATTAGTTCTTTTAAGATATAATTAAGGAACAAATAAGTTCTACGAAGTAACGCCCGTATTCACAAACAATGCTTGCTTAAGTGAAGCAGCAAATCGAACGCACAGCGTTGAATAGAGCTCTGTGATTGGTTCGTGTGTCACTCTGTGCGTCCACGCGCACTGTGAGACCTCATAGTTTGTGAATACGGGACCGTAAGTCTCATGTATTATTATGAAACCCAATGTTAGAGGAAGATCTGTTACTATAGTATCTGTGAAATATGTCATTTAATATTGTAACAGTAGTGACTAACTAAAAACTAGAAGTAATAGCCACGCTTAGCCGTATCATAAGTTTTAAGATTAAATAGCCAATATTGTCTGCTTCTTCTGCTTCGCCTTATCCCGATACGCGGGGTTGGCTTTCCCAGTCATGCGCCACCATTTGATTCTGTCTTGAACGTCTTGTTGAAAATATTTGCCAATGTTAGAAATATTCAAACACAGTGTTATAAGTTTCAAAACATCAAAAACTTATGCTGAAAGTGTAACATAACATTTGTATTGTGTCAAATTAGCATTTAATATAGGTAGCTCAATTTACCACATTATGGCTGGTTGCACCATCTTACTTTAACAAACGTAAAAAATCTATCAAACTCCATACAAAAGGCACCAGTTATCGTTAAAGTTACGGTCAAAGTTAGGTCGTGCAGCTCAGCCTTAGACTTTAAAATTATCCTAAGTATTAAGTCCAAAATCAATAGGAAAAATTACATTTTATATTATTGTAAACTAACAGTGGGTTAGGTTAGGATCAGATTAAAATCTGACGAAATTCACAATTTTACGGTGACTTAAAACCGTATTCACAAACGATGCTTGCTTAAGTGAAGCAGCAAATCGAAGGCACAGCGTTGAATAGACCTTGGAATTGGTTTGTCTGTGACACTGTGAGACCTCATAGTAATGTTTGTGAATACTGGCGTTATACGTTGATTCGCTGGTATAAACTACATTTTATGGTATTGTGAATTGTGAGATATCCCATCAAGTTGTTTTGAACCTTTTTGACCTTAATTTTCAGTTTCCATCTTTGTCGATATACACCAGTAGGTCTAGGAAAGATAAGCCTATACATTTGTCATCTAAAATCATAGATAAATTATATCACGGCACGTATCTTAGCCCGGCACGGGTCGCGGGTTCGATCCCCCACGATACATTTGTGCGTGAACAATTTTGTATTGGTATGTCTATCATAGGAATCGAAATTATTTTTACCTATGTATATTTATTGTCTTGAATATAAATTGAATATCTTAAAGACTGCTTATGATTTAGTTGTTAGTATCATAATAATCTCGAATGTGCGGTTTGTAAATAAATATTGTGTTCATTTTTAGTGAAATAAATAAATTGAAATGTATATCCATTGTTTCAATTTAAACAGTTATATTTTATTTTGTTTTACAGTGATCGGTAATTCAATACATCCTTGAAAGAGGTTACGGTAAAACTAATTTGCCAAAAATATTTTACTAAACAACTTATGTTCGGAAATCTTTGGATTTTTAGCTGTCTGAAATTTAGATAAGGTACCTATTCATAACCTGTAGACTTCTCAATTAATTCTTAACAAAAGACATAATATCCCAACGCGAAAGACACCTAACTATTCCACTTTCACCCAAGTGAACAAGACATAAACCATCTTCAGTACTGAAACTTGCTATCCTAATAACCCATACACTTGCCCTTAGTATATCAAACAGCTAAGCGACAAGCGCAAAGCTGTCTTGCAAAAATTTCGTCTGCTGAAGTCAAGTACCACCACCTGAAACTCTACAATTTAATTAGATAACACACTGGCCAATATTGCCTCGTAATATATTTTTCAGAAAATTTCAAGTTATCGCAAGTCAAGTTAAGATCAGCGCCATCTGTGTATTCTATAAATAATGACCCAACTACCCCGCTGACTGAAATACGAAAACGGGTGGTTTTCGTCGAACCTTGTTTGTAGGCCACAGATAACACTTTGTTGATTAGTGCTGCCATCTGCAGTTACTTGCATACAGTATTTGTTGATGTGAAAGTATAGTTCCAAAATACTGGACTGTCCTGTCGATGACATTGACAGTGGGGCGCCACCGTCAATACCGGATCGCTGGTTCAGATTTTTGCCATGTTGGAAACCATATAGTTGAACGATGGTAGCGCCCCCCTGTCATTGAGTTTGGCGGGACAGTTCAGCGTGGGTCATCTCTATTTCACGGGTTCAAGTATTTTGGTGGGAATTTCAAATAGTTTTATTATTCCAAGCCTAGTTTCAGCTGAGTAAAATAGGACCACTCCATAGAGATATGCCAACTAATGCGCTGAGTTCTAAACTCAGTGTCGCATTAGAAATTGACATGTACAAAGTAATCAAAACATGCGCTCATTCTTCTTCTTATCGTGTCGACAACAAACCTACACAGTGTCAGCCCAAAACTCCGCCACAAGAGTGGCGTTGTCAGCAGCACTCATCAAATCCTCCTGAGTGCAGTTGCTTGGGCACTCGGGGCACGACATCAGGTGCTTCATCGACTGGGGAACAAAACCGCACCTACACTCCATGTTTAAGCCATCCAAGAATCCCTGCGCTTATTATCCACTGCGGTATCAGTACTTAACGTTCGAATAATATTTAGTAACCTACGCAAGCAATGTAAACTGTTTATGACGTCTGCAGCAATGTGTTCCGTTTTTGGGCATATTGCTGCGACACCGGCCCCGCCCCCTTGGCACATCTCCCTTTAGTTTCTGTGATCTGTGTACCACTCCCTATTCCCGTAAATATCGTAAGAGGTGACAAAGGAAGAAACACGCGAACATCAGGCCTCCCCAACCCGTCAGGCCATCGTGGGGTGTGTAAGCCATAACCTATAAGCTTCTTAAGATGTTGATTGATTACTTATTACTATTAAATGTATTATGTAATGTAAAACACAGATATGATTTAAAAAATACTTTATTAACACACGGACAAAAATAGCTTCAACACTAACAAAGATGTACATCAAATGTGTCGCTCAATAATTACTTTAGTCATCGAGTTACACGTGAACAAAATACTAGTCAACATTCTATTAACATTAATTTATTGCTGTTCAACCTCGTTCAGTTACTAATAAAAAGTTACACACGCGTCGAAAACTACTTTAATGTTTAATTTATTTAATTAAAATGTCATTTTAAACTAGTTTCCAACGTGTAACTCTTTATTATTCAGGCATTTTTCATATTGAAACTAAACTAGCTTTCTATTCAACTTTTCAGTATTTAACAAGATATCACGTGACATAGCTAGTATCTTTCACGTGACAAAATATCATGTGATTTTTTCACAGCTAGTATTTTTCACAGGCCGGCCATTATAATATAGCGTGTTCTAAGGTTGCCCCATCTTACTTTAACTTTAACAAACCTCTAGTCTGTCAAACTCCACACAAAACACCGGTTAAAGTTAAGATAGTGCAAAAAGAAAAAGGCTAAATATCACGTGACAGAACTTGTATTTATCACGCGACACAAAATATCACGTGACAGAGTTAGTATTTGTCACGTAACACCAAATATCACGTGATATTTGTATTTGTCACGTGACGGAGCTAGTATGTCTCACAGGCCGGGCATGATATAAGCAATATTGTGCAGTGTATGCTGCAATAGACGCGGTGGCGGCGCCAGCGCTGGTACCGCGCGGGTGACGCACAGCAGCGGCGCAAGCGAGCATAGCAGTGTGTCGAGGAGGACCGACACCGACCCGGATACCGCGATTTGGCCCTGGAACAAAGTTTTGAAATAAATAAATGTCTATTTGTATTGTACATTGCACAGGGTACAAAAATGATCAGAAATGAGGAGATCCTCAGGAAAACCAAAGTAACCGACATAAATTAAGTGGCAGTGAGCGGGGGACATAGCTCACAGGCCGATGGGGCAGAAAAGTTCTCCAGTGGCGACCACGGGCCGGAAGACGTTATGGGCAGCCCATTAGGTGGACCGACGATCTGGGAAGCACCTGGATGCGGGCAGCGCAGGATCGGTCGTTATGAAAATCCTTGAGGGAAACCTTTGTCCAGCAGTGGCCGTCATTTGGCTGTAACGAACGAACGATTACCTCGTTCTCACGCAGCAAACCTTTGTTTTGTCACCTGTTATCCGCTTTGCGCTTTGCACTTCAAACTCCTCCCATGTTCTTCTAATTAATTTCGTCGCGGGTCCAATGACAGTTTAACTTTACCTCGGGACAAACTTGACACGATACGTGATACACGTGACAGTACCAGGTGACGACTGGCTTCCAGGGTATTTACTCGTGCGGCTTAAGACGCTCCTAGTTCCATAAAATATCACGTGACAGTACTAGTTCTATAAATATCACGTGACAAATATCACATGACAGTACTAGGTCCATGTCACGTGACTAGGTTCTAGAAAAGACACTCCCCTTGGTTCCTATTAACGTGACAGTTACTAGTGCCTTTGGCGACCTGTTCCAAAATATCACGTGAATGTACTAGGTTCGTATCACGTGACTAGCTTCAGTGACACTTACTCGTGCTGTTTAAGACACTCCCTGTTCCTCAAATATCGAGTGACAGTACTAGTTCCGTGTCGCGTGACAAATATCACGTGACTAGGATCTAGAGCTCGGTTTTATTCTCGTGCTTCTTGGTACCTGTTCCAAAATATCACGTGACAGTACCAGGTCTGACTATATGTGATACACGTGACAGTATAGGTGACTGGCTTCCAGGGCACCGCGCGTGCTCCTAGTTCCATTAGTGTCACGTGACAGCACCTCGTGCTCCTTAAGACACTCCTTGTTCTATAAAAATCACTTGACGAATATCACATTACAGTACTAGGTCCGTATCACGTGACTAGCTTCAGTGACACTTACTCGTGCTCGTTTAGAGCTCGGTTTTATTCTCGTGCTTCTTGGTACCTGTTCCAAAATATCACGTGACAGTACTAGGTCTGTATCACGCGACTATATCCTAGAGTACTTACTCGTGCTCATTAAGACACTCCCTGTTCCACAAATATCACGTGACAAATATCACGTGACAGTACTAGTTCCATAAGTATCACGTGACTGTTCCAAAGATACCTCGTGCTCCTTGAGCCTCGCGCCGATGATGGCCAGGCTCTCGCCGAGCAGCCGTAGATGCGCCGCCACCTCCACGGCGCCGCAGCCCGACACGCGGCACACGCCGCCGGGACCCAGCCCGCCGGCTGACGACGGCTGGGGGCTGCTATACTAGGCCCGGCCGCGTGACACACGAGACAGTACCAGGTGACGACTGGCTTCCAGGGCACCTAGTTCTATTAGTGTCACGTGACAGCACCAGGTAAGTATCACGTGACCAGGTTCTAGAGTACTTACTCGTGCTGTTTAAGACACTCCCTTCTCCAGAAATATCAAGTGACAGTACTAGTTCCATAAGTATTAAGTGACAGCACCTCGTTCTCCTTAAGACACTCCCTGTTCAACAAATATCGAGTGACTGTCTAGTTCTATATCACGTGACAAATATCGAGTGACAGTACTAGATCAGTATCACGTGACTAGCTTCCATGACACTTATTCGTGCTGTTTAAAATACTCCCCTTGATCCCTGTTCCAAAAATATCACGTGACAAATATCACATGACAGTACTAGTTCCGTATCACGAGTACTTACTAGTGCTTCTTAAGACACTCCCCTCGGTCCCTGTTCCCAAAAGTATCACGTGACTGTCCCAAATATATCACGTGACAGTTCCGCAAATATCACGTGACAGAACTAGCTTCGTATCACGCGACACTTCTAGGTTCGTATCACGTGACAAGTTTCTAGCGTACTTACTAGTGCTCCTTAAGACACTCCCCTCGGTCCCTGTTCTAAAAAAATCACGTGACTGTTCCAAACAAATCATGTGATTGTTCCACAAATATCACGTGCCCGTATTACCTCGTGCTCCTTGAGCCGGGCGCCGATGATGGCCAGGCTCTCGCCGAGCAGCCGTAGATGCGCCGCCACCTCCACGGCGCCGCAGCCCGACACGCGGTACACCGCGCCGCCGGTCGAAAGAGCGCCGGCTGAAGACACCGGCTGATGGTAAAGAAAAATGTTTTTGAGCGTTTACGCCGTTCGGCGCAAAAACAGTACTTTTTCAACCCGTTACAATCATTAACCAGTTACATTACAAATATGTTATAGGCATGAATAATTAGGCAATTTCGTCGTCTAAATGGTTAGTTGAGAAAATATTTCGATTAGTATAGTATTTAAGAATTCTATTGAGATAAGTCCACACAGGTTTTCAAATTTCCACTTTAGCGTCAGTTTACAAGCTGAAATTTTTATAAAAAATACTGTGAAAACGATATAACAGACATTTATATCCTATAGCATAGGTCCTTAGGCAAATAGTTAGTTGAAAAAATTCGTAGATTTAAGCATTTTACAATAAGAAATCACAAATTCAAAGAACGTGAAATACCCAAAAATCAAAGTGATTTTTACACCATTATTCTTCTTTAATTCAACATAAAAATAGCTTAATATAATAAAATAACATTTTCTTCAAAATATTTACTTTAAAACGATATATAATTCATTGTTATTGTTTTGCTATAAACATTTGAAAAGTATGAAAAAACGCCGCGCGCGAATCATTTCCAATGATGCCCCTTGAAACGCCGCGTTTCACGTAAACGCTCTTAACCTCTTACCTACGGGAGGCACCTATAGTTGCCAAGTCAAAAGTCACTTCTCAATACGGTTTCGACAAAAAACAATAAAATCGCAAATTAAGGGTAAAATACGCTTGTAATTATGAAACTACATTATTTGCAGAATATAATATTCCAAATTTCAATACCGTAAGTCTCATCGTTCGTTTCAGCCAAATGACGTCCACTGCTGGACAAAGGCCTCCCCCAAGGTTTTCCACAGTGAACGGTCCTGCGCTGCCCGCATCCAGACTCTTCCCGCGACCTTTACCAGATCGTCGGTCCACCTAGTAGGAGGTCTGCCCACGCTACGTCTTCCAGCCCAAACGTAACTTCGTGGACGTAAGTCTCATACTTTTTAAAATATCTTGATGTAAAGTGGAGCAAACAATTTTATAGGTTAAAATACCCCGTTTTGAGAGGCGACTTTGGGTTTCCAAGTTTCCAAGAGCCCGTAGGTAAAGGGTTAAAATCCCTGACGCGACTTGATTGCTAATAAAATTGTAGCTCGTAGCAGAGTAAATACAAATGAGTAGGTCGTCTTCATAGAAACGCGCCGAGCGCGGTTTGTATGCGGCGCGCACGCACACACTGACAAAATTCGGCGCAACTACGACAAACCGCGCCCATGCGTTTCTATGAAGATGACCTCATCATCATCATTTCAGCCATAGGACGTCCACTGCTGAACATAAGCCTCCCCCAATGCTTTCCATGTTGATCGATTGGTAGCGGCTTGCGTCCAGCGCTTCCCTGCTACCTTTACGATGTCGTCGGTCCACCTTGTAGGTGGACGTCTCACGCTGCGTTTTCCGGTACGCGGCCTCCATTCCAGAACCTTTCTGCCCCATCGGCCGTCAGTTCTGCGTACTATGTGCCCTTCCCATTGCCGCTTCAGTTTGCTAATCCGTCGGGCTATGTCAGCGACTTTGGTTGACCCTTGACTTGGATGAAGATGACCTACTCATTTGTATTTACTCTGCTAAAATCAAGTGGCAGTGGGCGGGGCACCTAGCTCGTAGAGACGATGGCCGTTGGGGCAGAAAAGTTCTCGAGTGGCGACCACGGGTTGGAAGACGTAGCGTGGGCAGGCCTCCTACTAGGTGGACCGACGATCTGGTAAAGGTCGTGGGAAGAACCTGGATGCGGGCAGCGCAGGACCGTTCATCATGGCCCTTGGCTTGTCCAGCAGATTTTTGAAAATCTTTAAAAGCAGTTCTATTTCATTTCATTTCAAAAATAGATTTTTCTTTAATTTAAATTTTCTATCTACAGTAATAAGAGTACTTTCCCTCCAGGTGGCATTACAAAATTCCACCCTGTCTGCTTAACCTGTAAATTTTACAAAAGCTTGTATTTATAAATTCTTACCACCAAAGCCTGTGACGGCGGCGACGGGACCAATGGTTTGGGCTGAGCGCGGTTGGCGGGAGGCCTGCCAGGCCCCGGGTTGCCCAGGGGACGCGGGACGCCTGGGGAAATAAATAATAAATAAGTTACGTCCATATACGCAACAACTCTTCTTTCGACTTCTCAAATTTGCTGTGTTTTAGTAATTTTAGTTTCAAATAAATTAATAGTTAAAAAAAAACCTAAAAACACACTTTTTATTACTGCACCAAAAGGCTCGAACGAGCGAACCTAAACTCGATTAGTTTCCGTCGTTTCGTTTAGGAGTTCCTATGGCTATACCTTCCAGTCCCATCATCAGACCAGCTCGACGGTACTATAATATTGTATTGTCATCTAATCGTACTTCATATTTATTGTATAGGTATAGAATTAAGAGATTAAGAATCTAATCATCATCATCTAATCTACATATAAAATTGCTAAGTTTCATGATGATACAAGATTTAGAAGTGTGTGTAATTCAAATTCTTAGATTCCATTACATAGTTACATACACGACGACCTAATAAACGCGTGTTAAAATAAGGTGTTTGGACTTTTAATGAAAAGTGCATAAATCTTTTGTTTGCGCGTGTACTTTAATGCGATATCGCACTATTGCACTTGAGCTGGAATGAAAATGGAGCGTAACTGGAGTGTAGTCTGGAGGTGAAACGCGAATGAATTGGAGACATTACAAATTAAGGCAATCGGGAGGTCTAATTAACTGCGCACCTGGCGACCGTGACGTCACGTCGCCGCTCTGGTACTGGTACGGACGGGGCGAGCGCAGGGACGTGTGCGGGTGAGTGCGAGGAAGAGTCGCATTCCAGCGAGGTGCGCAGTTAGCTCAATTAACTTGTATTGTTATTGTTAAAATTCACAACGTTAAATTACAATTGACAAAAGTCAAGAGTAACGTCAAATTAGCGAGACGCGCGGAAGGTTTCGCGTTTTTCAATGTATACGCAAGTTACGAGTATGTGTCCAGTGTTTTATTTATGAAATAAGAAATAAGATCTACTATCTGTTCGCGACAAGTTTGCCGCTGGCGATATGACGTCACTCGAAGGAAAACGTCTATAACTATAGCAAACTATATTGAAAATATTTTTTACTTATTAATATTGATAAAAATTGTGTATTTGCGTAAAATAAGACACTTATTTGCGTTTAATCGCGGTTGGGGGACGCGCATTCCACGGACCGGCAAACTTAGCGCGAACGGGTAGGTAGTACCAGCTTAGTAATCTATGAAATCACAGAAATAAATTGATTTATTACTCATTCTACCAACTGGTCAATATGGAAATCATTGAGAGAGGCCTTTCAGCAGTGGCCGCCCTGTGGCTGAAATGATGATGATTACTCACTCATCATCATCATCTCAGCCATAGGACGTCCACTGCTGAACATAGGCCTCCCCAATGCTTTCCATGTTGCCCGGTTGGTAGCGGCCTGCGTCCAGCGCTTTCCGGCTAACTTTATGATGTCGTCGGTCCACTCATTCATTCATTACTCACTCAAGTTGGATATGATCTTATTGGCTGTAGGCTGTCCGCTCTGCTGTTCCTTCTGGATCGCGAAGCGTTTGGCCTTACGCTTCCACAAGTAGCGCTCATTGTAGTTCACCTAGAAAGGAAATAATTTTAGAGTATTCTGCGGGCCTAAAAAGGCCAAATCACGCAACATTGCTAAAAGGAATTCATTTCCAGAATTCATAGCAGATCATAAGCAATTCCTCTAATTTTCATAAAATGGTCTTACATTTTGGCAGAATTGCCGCAATTCAATTCATTCGCAGATTCATATTCGGCGTCAATGTTGCCACATGTGAATAATAAAAACCGTACTTTACCGGTTATCATTTCTACGACTTTTTTTACATTTTAAACTGAAAATCTTAATCAATTACCTCATATCTTGTTTTAAATTAATAAAAGTAATATAATAACATTAAAATATTTGAGTTTAGAAGCCAAAAATAAGAAATGAAAAATCATTCAGTATTTTATTTACGACTGGCAACAAGTTAGGTGTCGACTTAATGAAGGTCAAGTTTATGTAAACAATACCACGTAGATAGAGAATAGAGGTAGATGGGTCATTAGCGTACACCTGAGTGAGATAGCAATATATGTACATACCATATCTATAGCTACAACAATAGACTTAGTATTGGCTACGTTAAAAATTACCCTGATTTTAGGGGTAAATAGGTAAGCTGCGGGTGAAACTGAGGCGCAAAATCTAGTAAGTATTACTATAAAGGTGAAGTGAAAGTTTGTGTGTATGTATGTTTACCTTTTTACGCTTAAACAACTGGATGGACTTGATTGATGGCGTGTGCGTGCAAGCTTTTTTCTATATTTAAGAGGTTAAACTGAGTTTTTGAGGATTTAAATAAAAAACCACTTTAATATAATACTTTAATCAGTATCACTGACCCTTAAACAAAATTAATTTGTTTTAAAAATTCCTGACGATATCAGACTTTTCTGAAAGCTTTTTAGCTGCATGATGTATTCGAACTTTCAGATACTTTAGCATCTGGATTCAAAATGTCTGGAACATATTCGAGAATGTTGACTTGGATGCCAATGTACTCGGCCCGTACACTCCGTCCATTTATTTCTTAAACTTGGTTCATTCGGGAATCTAAAAACAAAAATACATGAGGGAATATTGACTAGGCCTGCTGGTATCCCCAGCGGCTTATAACCCGACTAATGACAGATTACATGTATTATCATAATGAATCTTCTGGCACATGATGACTTTCACTCCAGTCGGTTAATACCCAATTTATAGGTTTAGAATAATCAAATTTTTAACATAATTACGAGAAAACTTACATTTCGGTAACATCAAACAATCGTTTTCTTAATGTTTATTACCTTCAGTTACCATATAATAGCGAAAAAATGCTACTTACCGATGAAAGGTTATGTTTGGTTCTTTTCGTTCACTACGGCTTTTACAACCAATTATACAACAATTCACCATTACTGCAAACGAAATCACACAAAATACTGTGTAGAACAATGTTCTGATTGTTTTATTTGACATGAAATCACTATAAATTGATGAAAAACATCAAAACACCACGCAATTGTCTGCCACCAAAGCAAATGGTGGCAAACATAAAAAACCGATACGCAAGCGGAGACAGAAAAAAATGTTTTGTCCTGCTCTCCCATATTTATCTGACATATAAGCTTTCTCACTCTAATTTTTTTTTTNAAAGCTTTTTAGCTGCATGATGTATTCGAACTTTCAGATACTTTAGCATCTGGATTCAAAATGTCTGGAACATATTCGAGAATGTTGACTTGGATGCCAATGTACTCGGCCCGTACACTCCGTCCATTTATTTCTTAAACTTGGTTCATTCGGGAATCTAAAAACAAAAATACATGAGGGAATATTGACTAGGCCTGCTGGTATCCCCAGCGGCTTATAACCCGACTAATGACAGATTACATGTATTATCATAATGAATCTTCTGGCACATGATGACTTTCACTCCAGTCGGTTAATACCCAATTTATAGGTTTAGAATAATCAAATTTTTAACATAATTACGAGAAAACTTACATTTCGGTAACATCAAACAATCGTTTTCTTAATGTTTATTACCTTCAGTTACCATATAATAGCGAAAAAATGCTACTTACCGATGAAAGGTTATGTTTGGTTCTTTTCGTTCACTACGGCTTTTACAACCAATTATACAACAATTCACCATTACTGCAAACGAAATCACACAAAATACTGTG